CAATTGAAATCCGTGACAACATAATGCCTGGCAGGGGAGGGTGGCTAGGAGACTGAAGCAGACACCACCTACCCCAATGTACAAAGAATAGCAACCTACCGAAAAACGTTTCCCAGCACTGCTTTTGCGCAGGTCCAAGACTGGAAAACGAATTACAAACAGGGCAAACGACTCCCTACAACAACAACAACAACAACACAAGCAAAACAAAAACCAAAAATGGCGACCTGCCAGGTATAGAAATTAGCGCTAAAGCAGCAGCAACAAATATATTGGAACGAGCGCATAAATCCCAATCTATAAAAATATAGAAATGGAATGCGTCTTACTATGTTAATGCACATACATACATACATGCTCGTACCTGCACACATTTCCACATTCCAAGCGACGTGCAGCGTTGCAAATTTATAAATACTCGTATTTACCTGTGTGTGGATACATATGCTAAGGACTTTGATTACATTTTCAATGTATGCTCAAGCCAAGACACCTGTAAATCGGATGCGTCATGTGATTCATTGTTGCATTTGTGTTTACTTCTGTCTTTTTTAATTTCAATGTTTGTTTTCATATATGAAATAAAATTATATTTTCTTTATTATATTATTTATTATATTATAAATAATATTAATAATACTATATAATATTATTATATTATGTTATTATATTTTATTTCCAATGCTGATCTAAGGATCGTTGTATATACTAAAGTCAATAGCTCTATTTTCCATCTCTCCCTCTCTCTCGCTCTCCCCTCTCACTCTTCTTCTCTCCCTCTCTCTCTCTCTCTCTCTCTCTCTCACAGTACCTGCCCAATAGGAAAGAAAGTCACACTAAGTAACGAAATCATTAGAAAATCGTGTTGGACATTAGTCCAACTGTCGGCAGCCACCCACAATTTGCACATAATGTTTAACACGCAAGTCAATTGATGCAATTTGTACGACAAGCTGGCAGCAATTGGATCGCCCCGACTGGTGCTTACCCCATGTTTCTTGCTCCTTCCTGGGTCCCCAGTGACAATTTGACATGAGAGTTGAAAATGCCGTTACAGGTTCACGGTCTGCCGCACGTGTGGTTATGGGGCAGGGATCTCAGCGGTTGTGTGGGTGGGCGTCTCATCAACAGTTTGCAGCTGCTTTGCTGCTGATTTAAGGGTTGGCCAACATTGCCCTTAAATGAATTGTGGCGATTTATTGCGGTAATACTCATTTAGTCGAAAACTGCGGGTGTTGTATACATATATATATATGTGTGTGTGTGTGGGTGTGTGTTTGTGTGTGCCTGGCTCAAGTCGAGTGCAAACAATGCGCACAATAAAAATAAATCTCCAACTGTTTGTGAGGAGAGAGGCTACGGGAGAACTTTACTCGCAAGTGTGTTTAGTTAGACCCGTGGGAAGTTGTGGCGGCGGCGATACTTCTAATGGCTGTCAATGCCGCATCGAGTTGCCAATTACTTTTGAGCTTGATGCGCCATTGATTACCAACTGCGTTTGGTATTCATGTCACTTGCAGCACTGCTAGCTCTCCCCCTCTTTTTTGTCTATATCCTTCTGTCGCTCTGCCTAGACTGCCTCTCCACAATAATCACTATAATTGGGCTTTGCTTTGACAAAGCCAACTAGCCCACAAAAAATACGTGATATGCATTTTAGACGTGGCTGGCTGGCAATTAATAAGCCAATTTCTTGGCACCACACTTATCAGTGGACCCCGTAAATCAGCATTATGCTGAAGACGGAAATGAAAATGAGCTCAAAATTCAATTACAGTTAGCTAGTGAGGGGGGTGGGAGAGAGTATAATTTCTGGTCGCCTTCTCCTGCATAAATCAAGTAGCTGCCGCACCTGTCGCCCTGGCACAATTTAGCCAAGCCAGGCATGCGTCTTATTACATTTTAAGCGGCTTTGGAGACACTAGCAGCAGCACAACTCATAACTCATTGCTTCGCTTGCCTGCACGATGTTTTGTCGCATATTTTAATTTATTTTCTAATTTATGATCAGCTTTGCTGCCTGGCGCTGCCGACCACACCTAATAGTGCTTCGGTGCCAGGTTAATTGTTTGATAATGTTATCGTCCTGCGAACATAATAGCATAATTAATCGATATTAAATGAACACGGCAGCAACAGCAGAACAATAAACGCCGGAAAACCCACAAAAGGTTAAATTAAACGAAGTAATTGTTACCGCCACAGACAACAGCCGAAAAGTCTCCCCTACAGCAACTTGAGATTTTTGAGGGCTGGGCACATTCGCACAATGCACAACAAACAGTTGCCCAGACACGCACCGAGCACAGCAGGTAGAGTGAGGGTGCGACAGAGGGAGGGGAACAAACAGGCAGAGAGGGGGAGCGCCAGCTTGTTGAGAGTTTTTGATTTTTAAGCGGAGTTGAATGGGTGGGTCGGCGGTCTGGCTGGCTGGCTGGCTGGCAAAGCGCACAAAGTCACACGACAGGTGGCGACGCTGAGTCGAGGGTTGGACCGCAAAATGATTTAAATGCATTCTTAATGGGATGAAATTATCTGCTGGTGCTGATTTGCGGTTTGAGGCAGTAACTTCTCCCACTCCATATACACATACATATAGACAGCTTTCTTTTTTTTTCGGATTTGAAGTGCAACTGCTCACATAGTTGCTGCAGTAAATTTAACCAAACCTAACTTATGTTAGTCTCAAAGTACATTAGATTTAATTAAAAAATAAAAACCCGCCTATAAAACTAATTAAATTTGAGAACTTGACGACCTACCAAATCCGCTTAAAATCATAACAAAATAACAGTTTGTAGCTGCTGCCCGTTAACTGTGGGTCACATTTAGAGTCCTTATCTATGCTAAGCAGAGTTCACACATTTTCTTTGACCTCTCGCCAAGCTTAAGCTTTACTAGTAGGGCAAGGTTGGGAAGCCGTTAAAACAACTAGGGATTGTATTTTGTATTCAAGTAAATATAAGCTGAGAGATCTAATGGAATAAATATTTTCATATACTTTTTGTCATAAGCAAGCTTTAACGATTTTCCATTTTACGATTTGTTTATTTAAAATTAAATATTTAAAAAATCCATAAAACAGAGCTGAACACCTGGACATCAGCCGCAGCTGACTGACTGCCAATGTTTGTGAAAGACGCATCGAACCAATGGGCGAAGAGGTCAACAGTTTCTGGTTTCTAGCTGTAAGACTTTATAAGATATAGTGTCCGATTCGTAAGATCTTAACACTTTACACGACGATGGTGACGTGTGTATGCTAAAAATTTAGAATCTCTACAGTATACCATATAATTTCTTTTTGAATAAATATAAGTTGTAAATTTATGAATTTCGAAAAAAAAGAAGAAATAATATTTTATTAAAATTGTTGTATTATAATTTGTTAAAATTATATTCCAAGGTGTATTAAAAAGTATTTAATTATCGTTAAAATTTAATAGAAAATAGCAAGTAAGAGAGCGTTAGACGACATGACTTAACTAGGAGATATCCTGAATCCTGAGAATCTCATATTCCAATCATTGTCACAGCACATGTCTGTAGTATCTGAAATAAGTTTTTTAAAAATTTCGGGAGACTAGAAGGAGGCATCCAAAATGCCAAATACACAAAATCTTTTTGTTTATCACAGGAACTTGCGCAATAAAATTGAAGTCACCAGCTAATATGGTATTCAAGCTACGCTTAAAAAATAAAGTCAAACTATCGATTCTGATCGAATCATCGAAATCACGAAAGTAGTAAGAAAGGTCTAGTCGGGATGCCCGACGAGGAGATACCCTGATTCAAGTCCTATTTGCGTTTTTTTTTTAATACTGTCCATACTTTGAATCTTGCATTAAAAAATAAACAAATAAAATCCGACATTAGGACCCAAGATTGCCTACGCAACGCGCATTAACTTTACCAACACCGCCATTTCATAATTGAAAAGAAATATAAAAACCCTTCTCAATCTGTCAATGAACCCAAAAGTTCCCACCAACGAGCGTCGCCTCCGCCAACACGGCAACTGTGCTGCCTTCACAAGAAGTTGCAAATCTCAACTAAAGTAGCAGCTGACAATTCAAGTACAATTTAATTGTAATTTCGATTCTTCGAATAGAAAAGAATACACGCATTTTAAAGAATGTCTTGCCATGTGCTTTTGTAAATTGGTCGATAGTTAATAGCTTCTGTTTTATTTGATTGATTTTGATGAAACTTTTAACATATGATTTATATTTTTATATATACATATTCGACTGAAGTCATTGTCTGCTTGGTACAAATGCAAACTCCTACACACATTTGCCCAATTTTCAAATGAACTTAAATTTAAAGAATTTGAGGAATGCAAAATATATTGAAAATCGAACTTGTAAAAGTATACAAAAGTGTACATAAAATTATATTTAGTATATGGAGCATATCATATATATAATCGATAATAGTAAAACGGGAACTGCTATCGATTATTGAAAGCAGACTTGATATACGCGAGCTATATATGGACCTACAAACAAATTTAAGGTCTCTAGCTCTTGCCGATGCAAACGGACAGACAGACAAGGTTCAATCGACTCGGCTTGTCGTCCTGATCAAGAATATTTATACTTTATGAGGTCTGCCACGCCTTCTTCCCTTACATGCTTTTGCATAAAATCATTATACCCTGAAAATAAATTGTGCTTACATTGCATAAAATAATATATATATATATATTATATATATATATCTATATATTATATATATATATATATATATATATATATATATATATATATATATATATATAATATATATATATATACATAGAATATATATATATATATACATAGAATATTGTCCATTATCTAATATTTATTAATATTTACATTTAGTATTTACATTTTGTTTGACGAGTTTCGGTAGGAAACCTTTTTAAGAGTTAAGATTAATGTATATGACAATTTTCGAAATTTGATTTTGAAGTTAAGCTTTTAAAATTTTTTAATTTCATCTATATTTCGGCTGAGATGAAAATTAAATTTAAGTTTTTAAAATCTTGCTGTCGCTAAAACTAAAGCTTAGCTTAGCATACACTGATTTAACGTTCGAATTTTTAACTTTGGGTTCTATAGCTTGTGCACTGGAGTTGGTAGTTGCTTGGGAACCAGGTGCCCATTCAAACTTGGAATATTGATGAGTATTTGAAACTCATTTGTTTCCTTAGACTGGTAACGATGCAAACGCTTGGTACGCGCATTCAGCTCGGCAACAGTTCCAGAAAACTGAATGGGCTCAGTTGCCAAATGTGGTTCGAGCACATAGAAATCATCTCCTGCGGGAATTAAAAAATTAAATTAAATTAAAATTGACATGAGTCCATAATTAAAATCAAAGCTAACCTGGCAGCACAAACACCATTCCATCACTGCAAATGTAACCCACTGGCATAAACATTGTGCTGCCCAGTTGAGTGCGCTGCGAGGCAAAGTTGCAGAGCTTCTGGTAATCCTTGATAGAGAGCAGTCGACCCAGTTCATAGATTTGTGGCGGCAGAAAAAAAAGTTTTTGAGCCTGATGCAAACACAACAGCTCAAGGGGTGAACGCCACTGCAAATTGTTTACATGAATATATGTAATTGCTAGATACGAATAAATGCTTAGCTTACGAGACACTCCATGACTTCTATGGGCTCTGCGAGCAGAGTTGGCTGGGTGTGCAGAAAGACCATGTAAAAAACGGTTTCATAGCTAAAAACTAAGATTTACGAAATTGGAAATTTTAGTTTCTTGAGTGATTTACCGTTTATTAACAAACGCTGGAGTCGCCCAGGCTGACCATTCGTGCAGCGCCCATAAATCGGGCACCACTTTTAATTGTCGAAATAGTTCCAAGAAATCACTGGGGTTTCTGTGCACGCGAGCTTGCCAGGTCTTCAGGAAATCATGCTCAAGCTGTGCTGCCTGAGCCACTTCAACCGTTTGAGTTAATTGAGCTTGATTGCGACACAGCAGTATGCCCACTTCCTCAAAACACTCACGCAAAGCCGCCAAGCGCAGCGTTATCTCCCTAATCATGCACAAAGATTAGATAGAATTTGCATTAGCATTGCACCTTGTACTTACCGCGCCCAAATTTTGGAACGTTTGAAGAAGCGATCATAACAGCCTGTACCCTGTGGAGCTAATATGGCTGGCCTTTCTTCGCTGACTAGTATTAGATCGCGCAGCGAAGCTTGGGTCACACCAAACTCCTCAAAATATTGAAGCCATGCAACGCTCTCATCCGCGTCCGTTTCCAGCAATCCGCCAGGAAAAACAGTTTGATTGGCAGCTATGGCCGTCGCTTCGGTGCGCTTCAACATGAGCACCTATGAAGTGTCAATATTAAATATATAAACTATTGCCATTTATCTATAGGTTTACAACTCACTTTGAAATCCTCGCCAGCCACTGCGGCGGGTGTAACTATAATAAGGCTCGCCGAGGCACGCCACCTATTGTTCGTTTTTATTGTGCTTGCCAGCATGGTTTTTTTTTTATATTTAATAATTATTTGGTTTTGTTTCTTTTATTAGCTCTTAGCACAACAACCTGTTGTTAATTGCTGATTGGAATTAACTCATTGCGCTGTAGACAACAATATCGATAGCAGTACTAAGCGAATACTGTGCTATCGAGTACCCATAGCTCAAAAAGTAAAGGTACTTCACGTAAATTAATTAATGCGTAGGTTGTTTTAAGTTCTTTAGCTGTTTCGAAAATTAGCAAATATTGATATTGCTTAAAAGATCTTCTTAATGCATCCATACCAATTCTTGTCAACTAAAACATTTGGCTAAGCGATTAAATAATATATGTATAATTTAAAAGCTTTCCCTGCAGCTATTAAGTATTTGCAATCAGCGCGTTCCCAAAAACATACATAAATACATGTATACATGTATGTACATATACATATGTAAAGTTATAAATTAATCAGCTTTGGACATTTAATGTATTTCTGGCTTTATTTAATGTGGTTTCGTAGAGCATTTATGATCAGTGCCAGGGTTTATATGTTTTCTCTTTACTACATAGTTAAGCATACAATTTGGTGCACAACTTTGATTTAATATACCAACAAATGTGTTTACCTTTTTTAAGACATTTTTTAAAACATATATATAAATCTTATCATATAATTTTCCATTAGAACTAAATGTTTTTACAGCTTGCCTAAGCCAGTGTGGGTGTAAGGGTGTGTGTAGTTGTTTCGGTGTGTAAATTCAAACTAGATTGCCAAATCGAACGCCACCTGTCGTCTTTTTTGTTAATCGTCGTTAACCAACAAAAGTTTTCCGTGCTTCCATTCACCTTCCCGTTCCCCCATTTAGTTGTCTTTCTTACCGCCAGCGTCAATATTCTCATCCTCATCGTTGCTATCGTTATCATAGTTCGTCGGCTGCTCACCATTACGCAGCAATTTACCAACAAAGTCGTATTTCTCCTTGAATTGCATTTCCCAATCACGCACCGAGTCCATTTCCATAGTGCTAAGGTCGCTCAGATCATCGTATTCATCTTTATCGTTAGCCACCACACTGAAAGTGCCCAAATTTCGTGATGCGTCGCGTCCAGCAAATGTAGCATATGGTCCCCCAGGGCCATAGAAACGTTTACCCTTTGTGACGTCATAAACGTTACCATTGACCGCAACCAAAACACGGCCATCCGGCTGATTGCCATCATAATCACGCAGCTCCTTAACAGTAAAATCACGACGTAATTTGGGCAGCTCCGGCTCAGCCGGTTTCTGTGCCGAATCCCGGGAGCCCGGACCCTCGCATCGATCACGAACTATTTTATAAACCAGAAAACAAATGATGGAGAGCAATGCCAGATTCATAGGACTGTAGAAGATTTCCCGAAATGCGGCCGCCAGAAATGACGTATCGGCTGTTGCATCAGCCTCGATCGTATTTTGTTGCTGTTGTTGGGTTTCCATCTTGCAAGTTTGCTTCTTGTCACTCCGTCAACTTTGTACTGAACTTTGCTCACGTTTCCGCTTTACTTGCGGCGGTGCGTATGTGTGGATGAGATGTAAAACGAAGTTCGGACACCACTAATACAAGCGAACAACTCTTGCACTTATTCTTATACACAATATATGTTCTGTTTCTAGAACAAATATCTTCTTTTTTCACCAAGTCAGTGCCTGTTCCCTAAACAGCTGTAAAACGTAGTGTTGTCAGCTGACAATACAGGAGTAATCGGTTATCGGCACTAGAGATGCACGCTATCGGTAACTTGTTGCTCCTGAATGTAACGGATGCTAACATCAATTTATCATTATTGACATTCAAATTCGTGCCGTCGCTTCAAAAGAACCCGATTAAACAGTAGTCCAAATAATAAGCACTTATTATGTGCCCACAGCACAAAAAACTTAATAGGTAGATAGTTCAAGATGCACACAAACACGTGCCACCGCATCTGCCGAAACGGCTTCCATATTTAAGGGCAAGCTGCATCAAGCAGAAGGCACTCGCATTTGTAACTTGTAAGCCACGGCAATTATGAAGCTTCTATTAACAATTATTTGGTTGGTCTGCATCTGTACAGGCATTGCACAGAATATTGAGCAACTGATAGCAGAAAATACAAAAGAGTTAAATGAAACCAAAGCACTGCTAAGTCATATCGATGCCACCAACGAAAATATCAAAAATAGTATCGAGCAGCAACGCGGCTGGCTGGATGCGATCAAAAATGTAGATGGTTTGCTAGGCAAACTTAACGATTTTCTCGATGCACAATCTGTGGTTGTTCATGAGGCATTGAGTAATATCACAATTAGGTCTGGTATACATACGGACCGTGTGTCCAAAGAACTGGGAAGCTTAGCCCGATTGCAGATCTCAACGAAACAACAAATCAGCGCGCTGGAACAAAAGCTAGATGGATATCAGAAACATGTGATCCAGAATGCACGCAGCATCGACAACAACATATTAGATCTGACCAAATTAATAACACGAGCTGTTCTGCCGCAGTTGAATGGACTGCAGTGTTCCTTTGACAGCCTAGAAACATCCCAAATCAACATAGAAGTGGAACTAAAGAGTCTGGCACGCATCAAGGATATTAACGAGGATTCTAATCTCAAGTTGGTTACATTGGCTAATCAGCTGTTTGACTTGAATCGCACACAGGATTCACGTTTTGGAATGCTCACGCATGCTCTGTCTCAACTGAAGCCTCTAAAGACATGGCAAATTGAAAGTGCCTTAAGAGAGTTGATCGTCTCCCAGAAACGTATCGAGCTGGACCTGGAGGCATGCGATCAGCGTCCTATATCCCATTATGCCAAACAATCTAGCTCTTCTTATGTCTCCTATGAGAATGAGTCGCCCAATACCGCGGACCCTATTCCTGCGCAAGTCTGGACCCATAGTGAGCCCAATCAGCGAAGTACGTCATGTCCATTACAATCTATAAAATATAAATCTTACTTTACTATCTACCGTCTAGGTTCTTACTATACCAGCGTTAATTCGCCTAAGCCAATGACTGGTAATCCAAAAAATCCCAACTACAGTTCTTATGTAGTCTCACCTGCCAAGCACATCAGTTCCAGCTCCAGTTCAGTTTCCTGGCAGCAACCTCTGCCTTGGGAAACTATGTCTGCCTACCAATCTGCTCCAGCACCTGTGTCCAAGCTCAAGCCCGACCCCTTGGCCTGGTCCACTGAGTCACACAAGCCCTATCTGCCCGCTCCTAAGCCTCGTCAATCTGGTCCCGTAAGCAGGAGACCAGCTCCTAATCCACAGCCATGTGTCCAGAATCAATATTCGCAGAATCCACAGCGCTCTTCCGCTAGTTATGGACCACCAGCACCGCCGGCTCAATCTTATAACACGCAAGCACAAAAACAAGGCCAAACATCGCTACATGAACATTATTCGCTCTGGCACGGCAGCAACTCACCATCGGAAGGCTACTAAAGAAAGTCAACATCAAAGTTTGTGAAATTTGCAAATGATTTTTACGACTAACGAATTATATAGATTTTATATACTGCAATTGATATTCATTTATATAGCCAATGTTCGAATATGTTCAAATATTTTTAGACAAATTTTTAATAAACGCAATAAATTATAAATTGTAAATAAATATGTTTTTTAAAGCTAAAAATAGCTAAACTTCTTTTTGGGGTGTTAGTTTATAAAAACTTTATATAAATACAAACAAATAAACTTTAATTACTGTATAATATATTAATATAAAAGTTTACAAATTTATTATTTTATCTTAGACCATATACAAAAATAAACATGTCATAAAAATTAAAGCGAAGAAAAATATTTGCAATTTTACAACTTATGGTTCATTAAAGTTAGGTTATATTTGTATATAGCCTTTAATAAATCGGTTACGATGTGAATGTTGAATATGTATGCTCCTGAAGAAAATTTCCGATTGGAAACTTATCGTGTGTGTCTTGACATTCTCCATTGATCCACTTAAATTATATATAGACTTCTGGTGGTATGGCAAATTATATATATATATATATATATATATATAAATATATCTTCCACAGTTTTGTTAACAGAACCCCAAAATCAACAGTTACTATCGATCACCTAAATTTGTATATCATGGAAAATGTTGAATACGAATCAATGCTGGACTCCTTCACAGATATGGTCAGACAATCGGGACGTGACCAATAAAAATATATATATTTATACATTTAGCAGTTTTTTGACCGTGACGCCCGACTGCAACGTTCCTGTTTATGTTTGTGAACGCGTTCAATTTTGAAACAGGCATAATAAAACCATGCAATACACATTCCCATATAGGTCTTCAAGACGTCGGATTTTTGACAATTTAAATTTCATAAGCATTTACACGAAATATTTAGAAATATGTGAGATTTTAGTGAATGAACTAATTTTAGAGTACTTTGATTGCCTTACGGAGCAGCTGCATGCAACCGGAAATTCTAAAGGTCGGCACGTCTTGCACACCCTCACTAAAAAATGTATATCAAATGGGATTTACGTAGAAGCAATCACAGTAGCGTTTTAAGACGTGACCCAACTAATATTTTTGAAACTATTTTGCAGTCGAAAAGTCATTGAACTATTTATTTTTTATATATACATGTAAGATAGCCAAGCGCCAAAGAGTGTCGGCTGATTGGGGATGTTGAGATTTGAAGCTTAGATAAATATTGATATAAAAAGGATATATATGATGAATGTCCGTTATGAAAAAAAACCACTTCTAACTTTTATCAAATGGAATACGACAGAAACGTAAGCTTTCGCTGATTAGGTCAAAGTGCAACTGGCACGTGCCATTCGGTTACAGCAGAGACTATTTAAGCCATGACCCACGCGAACAACAGGCAGTTCAAGGTGAAACAAACAGAGAAACATGAAATTTCAGCTTGTTTTGCTTATTGTGTACCTGGTTAGCAGCTGCAGAGCTCAGGAGCAGCCAGAAGAGCAGGTGAGATCCTTAAACAAATCAATTGCCAAATCACAGTTTTCCAATGCCAACCCTTTCCAGGAACAGGAAGTAGCAGCAGCGGCTTCAATCCAACATGATGGTCACCGACCACATTCAGACAACGGCGCCATACGTCGCATTTTGGACGAGAATACAAAGGTTCTACGCCAGTTGGATAACAAAGCCGAAAGTATAGGAAACTCGCAAAAGGGCATTGAGAATAAGTTGAGGCTTTTGGGTCAAGATGTCGCCGGCATTGGTCGCCTAGAAGATGGCCTCAAGAAACTCGAGCTGACCACAGCTGCCAATTTTCATCAAACAGCCAACGGAATTAAGAACCTGACTGCTAGCATTCGAGCTGCCGAGAATAAAACGGATCGGGCTATCTTGAATCTTACACGCGGCCAGCTTGACATCAAGCAGTTGATTGTCAAGGTGGATGCCGATCAAAATAAGCATGAGCGTAGCCTCGATCAGGCAGCCAAATCGTTGAATCTACGTCTCGCAGGTTTGGACAATTTACTCAAGCAATCCGTGCTCAAGGAAATAGTGGCCCTTGTCCAAGTGGCCAAGAAGCTTGAGCAGTCCCAGCGGCATATTGAGAACAAGGTCGGCCATTTAGATGAGCTGACAGCGCTGTCTGGCATAACGGCCAACAAAGTCCAGCAATTGGAGCACGGTTTGCGCTCCATAAACAGTACGCAGCAGCGTCAATTAGCTGCAATCGGGCAGACGGTGCAACAGGTGGGAGCCAGTACCTGGCAAATCGACAATAAGCTGGGCGTGCTACTCAGCACCCAGAAGAACATTGAACGTGCCCTGGTCGAGTGCAAGAAGTGTTTCCCACCCCACAAGCAGCCACATGACAATTGGCAACAACCTGGCTATATATCCTACGAGTAGGTCAAAATATTGCTCTATAATTTTTCTGCTCTGCAATCAGTTCTTTTCCTCCTTCTGTACATAGGAGTCACAAGGATGCTGAGAAGTCGCTTTCAAAGGAATATGAAAGAAACTATGAACATGCCGATGACGCCTCCTATCTGTACCAACTCTGGTATGGCAAGGACGATAAATAGATGAGAATCTTGATCAAAAAGTTGTTATGACTTGCTTCATATGTTGAGCTATCTAAATATGTGTAGAGTTTCGCCTCTATGCTCCAATTAAAGCGGACTGCGAGGCATTTAACAATTGAAATTCCCGAAATTTAAAGAAAGTAGAATTGCAAGTTCATAAAATCCTTGTTTATTTTAAAGAACAAAAATTAACTTCTTTGAAGTTTAACAATTATTACTTTGGCTTTATACTAACAAATGCACCTAATTTAGCCTGTGTTGTCTTTATAATAGACGAACACTTGCAACAAGAGTTTTTACACACATGATTCACTTACAAATTGTTAATAAAGTTATTTGTTGTTATATCTATTTGTTTCAAAAAATCCCACTTAAAGCTTTCGATACTAAAGATTTTTGGGATCTAGAGGATTAACATGTCCATCGGCTGGCTTAAAATTTATGATCAGGTGCGATTCATGCTGATTCTTATGCTCGGAACGATGCAATTTCTCTTTGGCTAACGCTCGAAATTCTGCCGTTGAGATCCCTGTCTCGATTTTTTCGCTACTCGCATCTGGATTTGAGGGATACAAATCATCGCCGGGTAATAGATGGACGAAGCCATCTGTGCATTTGTAAATTACAGGATGTAGCAGCACAGATCCCTTGGATGAACGCTGCTGAGCAAACAAACGCAGTTGCTCCAACTTTTGAAAGTTGAGACAACGCGAAAGTTCATAAAATTGTGGCGGTGGTAGCCACACTTGTTTCTTCAGCGCAGCTTCCAGGTAGTCCAAAGGCGCACGCCACTGTTAAAGCCATCATAAATATATAAGTACCGACACAAACTATTAACTTTACAAATTGATAATTTAAAAAGAAAAATGTTTCAACAATTGTTCAACAAACAATAAGAGTTACGAATAAATAATAATAAACAAACCACAAATAAATACTAAAATTAATCGGACGACAAGAATGTCTGGACTAGTCGGGAGTGCCTGAATACAAAAAATACACGCCCACATAAAGAGTAGTTGAGACTCTAGTTGAGATTTAGTAAAACTAAGAAAAGCACAGCCCAGTTTTTCTGTTGAAAAAGTTTTGTTCGAAATGCCCGATCTATATTTCTCTTGTGATGTTAATTCTAGGCGTATACAAACCTCATAGTCCTTCACTTCATTGGATTCCATCAGTACCTGTGGCCGAGATGCGAGTGCAGCTAAAAAGAACACGGTTTCAAAACGTTTCTGGAATGTAGAGGGCGTGCGCCAGGCAGACCACTCGTGCAACGACCACAGGTCGGGCACCACATCCAACTCTTCGCAGAGCGTTAAAAACTCGCTGGCATCGTTGTGGACAATATGTTGCCAATGTTTCCGATCGAATTGTTCATTGAATTGTGCATAGCCATCGATGCTGGTCAGAGTTTTGCGATCACGGCACAGCAAAATGCCCATCTCTTCAAAAGTCTCCCGTAAAGCAGTCAAACGTAGGGAAACAGCACTAAAACGAATAATAAAGGATAAAGCAAAGAATAGAGAAATTACTACAATTTTCTACTTTACGCATTGAGAGTTTCATCAGAGCCTTTCGTATTCAGCGGTGCTTGACACAGCTCATTCAATTTATGACGGCTTACGTCATAGCGGTTAAAAAGTCTTAGCCAAGTTGGTGAACTGTCCACAGTTTCACAAACGCCGCCAGGAAAGACGGAAGAGTCGGGCATAAAGGTCGACTTAGAGTTACGCCTAAAAAGTAGTGCCTGCAAGAATTACATTTAATTATTAAACCGCGATATATATAACGCAAAATATACACACATTATAGTCAAAGCCAGCTCGTGCAACCTCAGTATCCTTCGATACGAGTATTAGACTAGCCGAGTGGCGAATTTTTGCCGATATTTGTTTCGACATAGTTTAGATAATACAAACGATAACAAGTGCATTTCACGCAGAGGCCTATCGATCTGGCTGATGATGTGGGTGGCACTACACACAACTATCGCTAACGATAGTTTGTTAACATACGACTTTATAAAGGTTTCAATTGATGTCAACAAGCTCAGTCGAGCTGTTTGAAGAAATCTATTTATATATCGATAATATGGTCAATTTATTTGGCCAGCTGTTGAACTTTCGCTGGTACAAAGGTTAAAAGGAAAATATTTTGATTGATATTGATTTTAATGCTACCAAAGCCAAGTTCTCCATCGCTAGTATGACTATCTCAAATGAACACCAGTATAGGCCCTCAGCTAGTTTAATACTGGCAAGCAAGCAGGTGTCCCATGTAAAGGATCAGTTCGATTATAACGTAAGAGTAAAGAATAGTTTAGATCATGTTCACATAAAACGGTGCTGCTTATTATTGACAGCTACTGCTAATAAAACGTACAGAGCGCACAGCTTATGCACTTAATCACTGTGTCTTTCCTGGTGGCGTATTTGATGCCCAAGCAGATGAATCCAATGATTGGCTGGTGTACTTTCAAGATTGTGGTGTTACGCAGGAGCAGCTAAATCAATTGCACATCCGGCAAACGACGGGAAGACCGGAGGTCATGAACCAAGGCCTACAGTTCTCGCGTGATATCTCACTTCGACTAACAGCGCTCCGAGAAACCTTTGAGGAAGTAGGTCTTCTATTGTGCCGCAAGAATCTCAAGGATTTGAAAGGTGGACAACCAGCACAGATTGTGGACCAACCGTACGATCGTAACTACTGGCAGAAGCGGGTGCACAATGATGCAAAACAGTTTCTTGAGCTATGTCGACATTTGGCTGTAATGCCCGATCTGTGGGCCCTTAACGAGTGGTCTATTTGGCGTACACCAGCATCAGCTTCGAGTCGCAAATACGATACGGTCTACTACTTTACTGCTTTGGAGAGCAGCAAAGTGGATTTGTTACTCGAACCAAATGAGGTAGATGCGGCTTATTGGCTACAGCCTGTCGACTGCTGGCTTCAATCTCGAGAGGGCATTATTTGGTTGCCATATATACTGCTCTACGAAACGGCGCGTCTGTTAAACATCCAAAGTTGGCAGCGATTGCTACAATTTGCATATACTCGTAGCGCACTAGGATCTACGCTGCTACAACCTATATATTATCGCACTAATGACTGTCTCTTTGGCGTGCTCCCAGGCGATGAGCTATACTTGCCGGAGCCAAACAAATGCTATGAGTCCATCATATTGCCGTCTTCCATTAGTGAACTTAATGCTGTAACCAAGCGCTGCAACCGTTATATGATTTATGGCTTTCAGCATGTGGACTTTGCCTGCAATGTGTTGCCACTTGACGGACATTTTCCGTTGCAAGCACGTGTCAATACTCGACTAGCCAAATTATGAAAAAGACAGTTGAATATTTAAACATGTATTTCGATTTAATTAAATTAAGGTACCACTGTTCAGGTCTGCTTGTATATTGCGACAGGCATGACACATATCATCTCTTTCGTTCAAACGCTCTACGACGCGTTTCTCCAGTACGTCACTACTATGCTCCAGCTGTAGTGCCACGCCAATTTCGGAGACAGCCCGCGAATATTCGATTGCGAGCAAGGTGTCAGAGATATCAGTATCGAGTAGTGATTGACAGAACACACAGTATGAAGCCGGAATTCCTTGGGAGTTATGCTTAGCAGCAATTTTATCCCCGGTTCGAAAAACGGTTGACACCGTAGATGCATAATTTAATTGAAGGTTGTTAACGAAATCCCTGGTCAAACTTTGCAAGCTATCACCAGTCAAATGACTAGTATCATTCAAACGAAAATCTTTAAGATCCTGTGAATGGACGTAGAATTGCACTTCCTGTTCGGTCAGATCCTTTAAGGGACGCAACAGCTTTACATCTCCCTGCAGGCGATCATCCAACAAGGCGACATCCAACGCAAGGCTTGATCCGCGTCCCAGAGCTACAGAAGTCAAAAGTTGAGTAGCCAAGCTGGGACTTATGCTAGGCTCAAATACGTATGAACATCCCAGCTGTACAGCAACACCGCCAATAAGAAATTTACGTTTCTGCTGCGCATAATCCTGACGTGAAGTCGAACTGTTAAATTCATTCGTAATCGAGTCCAACGGACGCACAGTATAATCTTTAAGCAGCTGTACGCTTTGCGGCTCCCTGTCTAGCTGAATAATATAAAACTCAAACGGACTGTAACGCCGTTGCAGCTCATTAAGCTCCTTTAGAGGAACGTTTTCTTCCTTAATGGCCGGGCAACGAGCATCAATATATAGCACGCGGACGTTGCAATGCAACCGCTTAAACGTATTCAGGGTCTGTGCAGAGTGAAGCATGTCCAGTAGCACCAATGACTCTGAGCTTCCATCAATCACCAGCAGAACTTCAGAATTGCGTGGCAGCACTTTAGCCGCGCCTAATGAAGCACGAAATTTATGCCTAACATACTTAAGAAAACATTCACAACATTCAGCCATCCGAAAGTTTAGTTTGTACAGCTTTTGAGAGTTAAGGCCGCACTTGTTGCAGCTGCCAGCATTTAAAACAGAGCCAGTTGCTGAGGAACCAGATAACATTGTGTGCGTGGCACCTTCATCACCAAAATCATCTTCGCCAATGCTGCACATTGCAGGTCAATTTCAACATATATCGAAATATAAGTTAAATTACACATAAAAATTAGGGCGCGTGCACGTATTAGTGATAATATATTAAACGATAGAAAAAATATCGTTGACTGCCTCCTATACAGTGATGCTTTTGATTTCGATATAAAAATGTATCGTTTGAATGTGCGATATGCAGCAGCCAAGTTGTCAAGCAAGCAACCTTGCGCCCAGCAATAAAGTGCAGTGAAAAATATAAAAATAACTATTTAAAACTGTCATTTGTTAAAAAAAGCTGTTGCATAAGTTTAATTTAGTGCATAAGGTACGTGTAAAAAGAGTTGAAATATAGAAAACAGTTGAACAAATGCTTAAAATTTGAACGCACAATTTTAGCTGCTCCCATTCCATGTGTGAGTGCAAATGTAATGCGTGTGTTTGTCGCATATGTATGTATGTGTGGGGTTGTAGTACGCAAGCAAAAGTATCGGGTAGCAAAATCGAGAAACTTTCTTATTGGAACATACACAAACGAATGGCTGCCATAGTGGTGAGCGTTCAAGCCAGCTGTCAGACAAAAAAGAAGAAAACTTACATCAATATTGTGTAAAGTAAAAAAAATATAAATTATGCATAGCCTGCTTACAAGTGTGAGTGAATTTCGCTGAAGCTGCCTTGTGGCATAACCACAATAATAATAATAGTAATAATAATAATAACAGCAAGACAATAATAACAGCAAACGTGTGTAAAAACTTTATAAAATTCGAAGTATTGAGAGTACTGGGATTAAAACACGCGTATGAAAATAACATATGTTTATAACGGTATTTTTTTTGTATATTTGCAGCATTTTAGCTAATATTGTACCTATATATATTTATATATATACGTATAGTGTGTAGTGCAGTTGGTACGAAGCACACATTCAGTGAGTGCGACAGAGACAACGTGAGCAGAGTGAGGCATAGGTCATATTAAAAATAAGAATATTTTGGCCCCCCAAACGACAACAAAAAGAAAGAAACAACACAGACCAACGTAGTAATCAGAACGCATACAACATTTGGGGCCATTCAATAAAATGATATTGGAAAACTCGGATAAGCTGAAAGATTGGCTGAGCGTTGTGCTCGAGCCACTGTAAGTATTCGACGCGACTATCGATTGAACTTCGATAAGAACCTTTTATTAAATGTTTTGTTTTATTATGAATTATAATTTATTTAGCTGCGATGCTGACTCCTCGGCTTTAGCGCGCTATGTTATTGCGTTGCTGAAAAAAGACAAATCGGATAAGGATCTCAAACGCATCATGATCGAACAATTGGATGTATTTCTTTCAGAGGAGACAACACGTTTTGTCGATCGTCTATTCGATGCGATTGCCAGCGAGGAGTATTTATCGATGCCCACTCCAATGCCCACATCAACAGCTAGCATTGCTGAACTGGAGTTGGAACATGATGTGGATGGTGTGGCCGATATTGAGGCTGCTGTTAATTCATCACCGCCGCCACCAACTACTGCGCCAAAAGATATTGTGATAAAAGCCGATGGCAATCAGCAGCAACTAAGCAGCGACAATAACAGCAGAGAAATTGCTACTGAAGAGTCCAGCGCTTCAATGCCAACAGATGCCAATACAACGGGTACACACAACACCAAGATAGCCTTCGATGTAGGTATAGACAACTGTACTCTATCAATTATTATATTGGGTATCTTTTGCTTACAGCACAAAACCAAAGACTCTCACAGCCAGCAGCAACAGATAATGCATCATCATCACAGCAGCGGTAGTGGAGGTGGCTCAGTCAACGCATCTGGCTTTGTACGCAGCGCTAGTCCGCCTCTACGCAGCAGCGGTCCAGCTGGTGCCTATGCTGCTGATAAGGAGAATCAGCCTCGTGATAGTCGCCGGCGACGCGCCTCCTTGCGTTCCCGTTCTCGCTCCCGTTCTCGTTCCAATGAACGATCGTTTAGGCGATCGCGTTCGCGAGATCGTCGCATCAGTGAGAGGGAGAAGAGCCAGCGACAGTTTCGCAATAAGTCGCCGCCGGGTGGTGCTAGTGAGCAACGACACAGGCGCAACAACAACAATAGCAGCACCAACAGCACCAATAATTTTGATAGACGTCGAATTGGCAGCAATAATAACAGCAACAACAACAGCAACACGGATGAGCGCAATCAACGCTTTGGCAAGGGTCGCCATTCTCCACGCAGTCGTTCCATATCACCAGAATCGCGCAATGCTCGGCGTGGGAACAACAACAGCAACAACAATAACGCTAATACCATGGAAGCCGCGGCCTGCTCCTCGGTTGCAGTAGTAGCCGCCGCTGTACCTATGCCATTACCCGTTTCACATCCAGTTGCTACAATGGGTCGTCAACGTTGTCGCGACTTCGATGAGAAGGGATATTGTGTGCGCGGCGAGACCTGTCCCTGGGATCATGGAATCAATCCTGTGGTCTTTGAAGGCATTAACAATTCAGCATTGATGATGTCCATGCGCGAGTACAATCCCGATGCGCCTGAGATTTGGGCACGCGGCGGACCTGCTGGAGTGCCAGGCGTGCCTCAACCGGGCGGTGGTCAACCACAGTCATTACCTGTGCCGCCTCAGGGTGGCCAATCGAGCATTAATCCTTTTAGTGGAAATGTGCGTGCCTGCGCGCCGCATGGTGTGCCCAATCCTGCTGATTATGCACGCCAGCCAGGTCAAGCGCCACAAGTACCTGCACCGCCGCCCATGATGCCATTCCCATTTAATCCCACAGCCGTAACGACTCCGTTGCAACGTCAACTCATACCCATACCCGTGATGGATGGTGGAGTTGGAGGTGGTGTGGGAAGCGGTGGGAGTGGTGGGTTACCTGCCGACATGGGCAAGCGCCGTTTCGAGCTGGAGGATAGTGTGGCCATAGCCGATGTGCCTAGCAAAATGCGCAAGCTACCAATAAATAGTCGCCTAGGACCTCGCGTCAATCCCAATATGCAACAGCATAATAGTTCCCTAGAGTTGCGGAAAGTGCCGCGTGGATTAAACACCATAGCGCATCTAAACAATCATTTCGCCAAGTTTGGAAAAATTGTGAATATCCAAGTGTCATACGAAGGCGATCCGGAGGCGGCAATTGTCACATTCTCCACGCATGCGGAGGCAAATGTTGCTTATCGCAGCACCGAGGCGGTGCTCAATAATCGCTTTATCAAGGTCTTCTGGCACAACGACAACAGCAATAGCAATAGCAATAGCAATAATAATACCAATAACAATAACATCATTAATGAGACGGGCAACCCAAATGTTAATCGCAAGAGTCAATATCATTTGCATAATGTGCCTGCAATGCCGACACCTAATGCAGACAGCGCTAAAATAACCAACACGAACAACAGCAGTCAGGTCATCCTGGGCACTACCCTCGGAGACACAACTAATGCACTGGCAGTTCCAACTACGGAACAGGGATTGGCAAGCACCGCAGCACCCGCTTCAATGCGTTTAAAGCTCAATACAAATACGACTTCAGCCAATGTATCAGCAAATGGTGGAGCAAGGGGCCTTACGCCGGCAGCCAATGCAGCAAGCATACGCAAGAAACAGGAAGAACAACAAAAGGCAATGCATCAGCTTGCAAATGGGTTGCGTAAACGTAAACAGGAGCTCCTTCAGAGCTATGTGAAGCAAATGAAAACGGCGCTGGAACTTGTTGAACGTATGGATCAACAGGATGTACAGCGTGCGCCGACGCTGGAAACGATCAAAGTTCTGCAGGCAACGATTGACAAGCTACGAAAGGATGTACATGCTGATCAGGATCAGCTACAGGCCCAAATCCAACAGCAGCAACAACAACAGCAAACGCTGCCCGTGAAGAAAACCAAAGAGCAACAGAAAAAAGAACTGCTTGATATGGAACTCGAGCTGATTGCCCAACAACAGGAGGGCAACGACACAACGGTCATACAGAAACGTCTTGAAGAGCTGCAGCGCACGCTCTCCGCATCAACTGGAGGTGGCTCCCTGTCTGGCAGTGGTGGTGCCAAGTTGCCCGGTGGCGGTGCACGCAAACGTGCCACATATCCCGAGGGGCCGACCCGAGTCGATCGACGACCAAAAGCCATTGTGGTCACCGGCTTTGCCGCCGAGGAAGCTGATTTTGTGCTGGGTCACTTCAAGGTGAGTACTGTAAAAAACAGTGTTTGCATCGAGATGGAAAAAACATTAGTCTCATTCATAACCGAGGGAACTATATCATTCACTAGTTAATTTACTAAGCCATATAATCATTTTTTATCAGCATTTCGGCGAAATATCTAAACACGATGTGGACCGTGAGATACCCCAGCTAATACTCTCATACTCTACACGTCTGAATGCCGAGCAAGCAGTGCTCCGTGGTAAAATATTCAAAGATAAACGTCTGCAGGTAAGTTTACAAATTATCTACTTTAATTATCTTTATCTTGACCAATTCCAATTTGCAGATATCGTGGGCACCAGTGGTGACTACTCCTGTTGTTCCCATGGGCGCACCGGCTAATAAGTCGTCAGGTGCGTTAAGTACGTCAGCATCAGGCGATAAATTGGATAATCCGAAGCAATTGCATTCGTCGGTCAGCGAGAGCGAATCTCTGCTGGGCAGCGATACTTTGCCAGAGTTACGGCTCGAGGACGAGGAGGAGGATGAAGAATCTGAGGATCGTTCCTGGCGTCGTTGATTAAACGCCATGTGCTGCTCCTAATGGCTGTCTAGCGAATCAATTTGGCTCATAATCGTTGGGAAAGCATTAATTGTATTTCTATTTGTTGTTATTCTACATGCAAAACGTGTACGTACCCATATATATATACATATATATATATATATATGTATATGTATATATATATATATATATATATATTGTGTTTATATATTTATACGCATGCAGGGTAACCATCGTTAATTGTATACAAAAAAAAAGCAAAAGCAAAAGCTAATATAATGTACAATATTCTAAACTAAAAGGCAAGCTGCCAAACACCAATACACAAAACAACACACACACAAACACTCGACATTTGGAACTGTTAGTAGCTCTACGTTCTAACCCTAGAGCTAAATAATCTATAAACCTCTTAAATTAAATGATAAAAACGCTCTTAATATTACTAATAATTACGGAATATATAAGTTATATATGTATATGTATATTGCATTCGATCGACGAGTGCAATTAGCTAAGCGTCTCTTTATAGTCCACAATTAACAAGAGCCGTTATAACAACAATATTAGAAAAGAAACATAAACAACAACTATGCGTTACAAATGCAACTCATATGCATTGATTGAACATCTTTATATATAAATATATATATAGGTACTACTTTGTATTTACATACTTTTTCCTGCTATCCTTATGTTCACTTAAAAGATAAAAAAACAAACAAAACAAAAAATTGCAAAAAATTAGTAAACAAAAAAATGGTAAAAGCAAATCAAAGTTAAAACAACAAAAAACATAGCAACGTGAATACAAAGTTTTAGAGAGAGTATAATAAATAAAGTAAATAGTTTCGTATTTGCTATTAATTTCACATAAAACATGAAATTGTGTTTTTTTATATTTGATAGAGAAAAAATGAACTTAAAGTCGATCTAATTCAAGTGACTCAAAATGGCCGCAGTTATTAAAACTTATATTTAAGGCTGTCTTACGATGCAAATTAAATGCCATTAGTTCCTTAAACAAATCATTGAGCTTGACATCAAATTCGATAAGATATAATATACTCCGATTAGCGATTCTTATCGTACAGATAAGCGATTGTTTCAGTATTACAAGTTTATGTATATATGAAATATATCGATAGAAAAGAATTTACTCATTGTTGCGTCCTATGTACGCGTATATCGATTTTGTTGCTCATCTCTAATAAAAATAAGGCGGGATTTCATGGATTGTGTGCTAAAATTGTTGTCAAATGCTTGTTAATGCATTAAAATGTTTACATTTGGTAAAACATGCGCGGTTCTACAGTAAGCAAACAAAGGATATGAAGTTTTTAAATGTAGCTGAAAAGAATGATGCGGCCAAAACAATTGCAGGCCTACTTTCAAATGGCACTGCGCAGCGGGTGAGCAAAAAATCTGTTTTTAATTGATTGTGTACTTATAACTTACAATGCAGCGTGAAGGCTATTCGGTGTATAATAAGGTGTACGATTTTGAGACTCAAGTACGCGGCCGTAATGCCAAAATGGTCATGACTTCCGTATCGGGACATCTGATGGAATTGGAGTTTCTTCAATCATACCGAAATTGGCGTAATGTCGATCCACGTTCGCTTTTCGATGCACCCATACGTAAGAGCGTCAGTGAAAACTATTTGCCCATCAAGAGAACGCTGGAACGTGAGGTGCGTGGCTGTCAGGGGTTGATAATCTGGACGGATTGTGATCGCGAGGGCGAAAATATTGGCTATGAAATTATCGATGTATGTCGCGCCATCAGACCCAATTTGACAATTCATCGTGCCATTTTCTCAGAAATTACCTCAGTTGCAGTTCGTCGCGCTTTACAACAGTTGGGGGTGCCGGATAAGCGACAAAGCGAAGCTGTGGATGTGCGCACCGAGCTTGATTTGCGAACTGGCGCAGCCATAACACGTTTTCAAACAATGCGACTCCAACGTCTATTCCCCGGAAATATTGCAGACAAGCTCATTTCTTATGGCAGCTGTCAAATACCCACATTGGGGTTCGTAGCCGAGCGCTACAAGGAAATTGAAGCCTTTGTCTCCGAACCCTTCTGGAAAATCAGGGGTAGCTATGCATACAACAGTTAAATCTCTAAAGGGCGATTTCAATTAAACTATCTGGCAAAGGAGTTTATTGGAACTGTCTGTTAGCGTAGATTTCCTGTATTTGTATATTTGCTAAATATCTAATTATAATCAATAATGTCTTCGCACACATTATTCATTGCAGTCCTGCACTCCATTGAGGATCTTACAGTGGAGTTCAATTGGGCGCGCAATCGTTTGTTTGATAAAGATGCTTGCGAGAACTATTTGCTACTGTGCTTAGCCGAGCCAGAGCCGCGAGCTACTGTTGAAAGCGTTATAGTGAAGCCGAAGCATAAGTGGCGACCCACACCGTTGGATACCGTGGAAATGGAAAAGTTGGGCTCACGCAAACTGAAGCTGTCCGCCAAGGAGACGATGACCATAGCCGAAAAACTCTATAGCAAGGGTTTGATAAGCTACCCACGTACCGAGACCAATCAGTTTTCCAAGGAATTCGATTTGACCCCCCTTGTGGAGCATCAAACGGCGCACGAGCATTGGGGTGCATTTGCTCAACGTGTCCTCGAATGGGGACCAAATCCGAGAAACGGTAACAAATCCGATCAAGCGCATCCGCCTATACATCCCACCAAATTAGTCTCAAGTAAGTTAAATGCCTTTTACACAAATTTCTGCCGTGTTCTAAGGAGACTTGACAAATTAATTAACTAAAAAAAACTAGTTAACTAAATGATCTGAGCATCTGAGGGTTCGCGTAAACTCCAAAAGTTATCCTTCCAAAGTAGCAAATTTTTGTATTATCAATTTATGTAATAATTGAGCTTTTGAAAACATGCAAATTGTGTTTTCCTTATCGATAAACAACTAAATTAATTATGATATGAATGTAACTTACTGTTTGACTAACTGACGAAAATCCTAACTGATGGACTGATTTATTGTCTGAGTCACTATGGTGGGATTTAAGAAATGTGATGAAGAATATAATATTTTTGGCTGGTTAAATTTTACAGATCTACAGGGCAATGAGGCGCTCGTATACGAATTGGTCGTGCGACACTTTCTCGCATGCGTCAGCAAGGATGCTGTTGGCTCGGAGACAATTGTCAACATTGATATAGCAGGGGAGAAATTTAGTGCAAACGGATTGGTCATACACGAAAGAAACTATTTGGACGTTTACGTGTATGATAAGTGGAGTGCCAAGCAGATTCACAATTATCAGCGGGGTCAGCGATTTGAGCCGACGGAGATTATGCTACATGAGGGAGCGACTACAGCCCCCCCGCTGCTTACAGAAGCTGATTTGATAGCGTTGATGGAGAAGCACGGAATTGGTACAGATGCAACTCATGCGGAGCACATCAATACAATCAAAGAGCGTGGCTACATAGGCGTGGTGGAAAAAGGAGCTCTAGTGCCAGGTGTCATTGGTATGGGTTTGTACGAGGGCTACGATGCCATGGAGTTAACTTTGTCAAAGCCACTGCTGCGTGCTGAATTCGAAGCTGATCTGAAACGCATTTGCCTGGGCGAAAAGGAACCAAAGCTTGTGCTGCGCGAGCAAATTGCTAAATATAAGTTAGCCTACCAGCAGATTATGGACAAGATCACAGCCATGGATGACAAAATCGCGCAAAGGATTAATGAAACTCCAACGGCAGCTACAGGAAGCGAGTCAAGTGTCTTGGTGCATGAGCTGTTTCAGTGCCCGAAATGTGACCAGGCCCCCTTGGCATTAAAGCCCAAAAAGAATCAGACAAGCTTTTTCATTGGATGCCTTAATTTTCCCGACTGTAAGAATGTCATTTGGCTGCCGGAGGAGTGCAAGGAGTTAACCGTGCTGGAGGAATGCTGCCCCACGTGCGGCGAAGGCTATAAAATGCTCAAATTTAAGCTAAGCACTCCCTACTATCGTGGTTTGTTCAATGCTCCCCATGGGTGGTATAAGAATTGCTTACGGTGTGATGAATTGTTTCGAAGAACCTTCAATATCAATCTAGACCAGGTGAAGCGCGTTGGCGGTATTGTGGCACAGGCGGGGAGCTCAGGACCCGGACCAGATGGTGGAGGAGGTGGTGGTGGTGGAGGTTGGGGCCGAGGTGGTGGTGGAGGTTGGGGAGGAGGTGGTGGTGGAGGTAGGGGAGGAGGTGGTGGTGGAGGTAGGGGAGGAGGTGGAAGAGGTGGTGGTGACGACCGTGGCGAAGGCAGAGGTGGCAAAAAAGGAGGAGGAAGTGGTGGTGAAGGCGGTCCCGCTTCACGTACACGTCCGGGAAGTGGCAATTCTTTTGGTTCAGAAGGCAATGCAGATACACAAAAGCCAACTAAACCGAAACGCAAATCTAAAGCAATAGATGGAGCAGCAGCAGGCAGCACGACTACAAACAGTCGAGACAATGGAAGTCTAGAGCGTTTTTTTGACAGCGACAATGATGGCTCCGACGAACAGCTGCTGGCAGCTGCAGCTGTAGCCGAATCAGAATCCGCAATAGCTTCTCAGCTGGATGAGGATATTGCAGCTGCATTTGCTGCTGATGATGATGCCGACTTTGAGGCCCTGCTGTCTGGAGACAACAATCATAGCAACAATAACAATAAGAGAATGTCTGCTAATTTGGATAGCAGCTTAACTCAATGGATGCGCGAGGCTTACGAGGCCGAGGAGAGGCCCATTCTGTGGGGCAGACAGGCGCATGCGGCTGCCGAAACGAAGCCAACTGTAAAGAAGGCGAGATTAAATGAAGTTTCTCCAGATCGGGCTTCAAACGCGGTGCTTTGCAGTGGCTGCCATCAACCGGCGCGTCAGCAAACTGTGCTGCGCGATGGACCCAATAAGGGCAGGCATTACTACAAATGCCCCAAGCCTAATGAGTGCAAATTCTTTCAGTGGGCGGACCACCATGCAACAGCAGCCGACACCACGTCCCAAATCAGCAATTGGGGAAGAGAAGTGCTGGAAAGCAACAGCTCTTCCAGTGGTGCAGCAGCAGTTGCCAGGGAGGAAAGCAATTCAGAGGATTTCTCATGGGGCACAAAGGCAGCAGCACAGCGCAGTAACTCTCAAGATTCCAATGTTTCTAATTGGGGCTCTGGAGGAACTATGGAGCAAAACAGAAGCAGCTCACTGAAAACCTTCGGATGGGGCACAGAAAGTGGTGCCCAACCAGGAACAACAGTCACGAAGGCATCAACTTATAACAAAAACTCAAGCTGGGGTATACAGCCACCTACGCAACAAAGGGCAGGTGTCCAGATAACGGATGATCGCAACAACCTCTCCAGTTGGGGTACAGCTGCTGTGAATCCAAGCAACCATGATTGGGGTCGCAGCCGCAGTAGCCAAACCACCTCCACGTGGAATCGCAATGATAGCAGCTACACATCTACCAGCTCCCAAAACACAGGCATCCGTTACAATTCCAGCAGCACTATTACCGTCACTCAACGAAGCGCTACCGATAGTAACCCCAAATGTAATTGCGACAAGCCCGCTAAAGATCTAATCGTACGCAAGGATGGACCCAATAAGGGACGCTCTTTCTTTGCGTGCGCGAATCGAGAGAAGTCCTGCGGCTTCTTTCAATGGGGCGACACGAATGAGCAACGAGGTGAGTGCACCAACAACATCCATTCAATGAAATTATAATTGTTAAATCTTTTAAATAATCTCTTGAAGAAGCCAACTCTTCGAAATCAAATGGAAGCGCTGCTGCTCCAGCTGGGAATCGGACGCGTCGATGTGGCCTGTGTCGTGAAGAAGGACACACTCGACAAAAGTGTCCGCGTAAAGAGGATTTCAACTATTGAAACAACGACTTCCTAAATTAGCATTAAATTTTATTTTAAATATTTGAGCTAACAGCATATTCTATATATAACAATACATAGCGCAAAAAACACATTCTGTATATATATACGGTATAAATGTATCGGAAACTATCTATATACATATATATATTATTATTTTTTATATATATGTATATTTAAATCAGATCAAATCAATTTTAACAAGTTTTTACGCACTAAACTCATTTAAAATAAGAGATCAGGTCATAATGAATTTTGCTAAAATGTATGTAATAGGCAGAAAGAGATGTAGTAGTCGCAGGACAGGACAACGAGCCGAGTACGTATGATCGCGACGATCTCAGAGTATATAAAAAAGTCCGCCTGCATTTACAGCTCAATTTCTTTTTCAAATACTCGATAACTATTTGCATTTCAATATATAGAACGATTGCACACGGTAATCGAGCTTAACTTATTTAAATACATCGCATATGTCTTTGCAGCTATAGTTTTTAAAGTGTGCGTTTAGTTTCTTCTATATTTTACATCATTTGTTGGATACCTACACAAAATTGCACAGCAAAAGTTCCCGCTGTAAATAGGCTCTGAAAGGTTTTGGTTCTGAAAATTCTGAAATTGAAATCCGTTAGGACAGAAGTTATTAAACAAAACGTTTGGCCAACTGGCAAAGCCAATCCGTCCACCCTCGACTATAGTTTCCTTACTTCTAATAATTTAAATTAAAAGAACAGTATATATATATAATATACAATATTTTTTTTGCAATTGAATACGATTTTATGGAGTCGCAATAAATATTAAAAATATTATTTTCTTTTGTATATAGAGAATAAATAGAATTTGTTTAAGGCAAATAAATAATATATACATTTTCATGAAATATGAATTACACTGCAAACTTTCAAGTAACATTTTTTATACATAAAAAGCATTTTAAATATACCTATATATCAAGCTTTTTCAAAAATTATTTAAAAATGATTTAAATTTATTTTTGGATGTGAATCATGTCTATCAATTTAAATCAAACATTGTTAAACCTATATTCGTTGTTAAACCTATATTTTATAAAATATCAAAAATATCTGAAACAATGAATTTTTGTGTTACAAATCATAATTAAGAAAAATATATATATGTTATACATTTCCTTACTAAAGGTGAAATTTATTTTAAAAATTACTGGAAGAATGTTCATATAAAGAACATTAAGAAACAAATATGAAACACTTTTACAACTTTGTAAATACTAAACAGTTTATAGCTGTCTTCAAGTACAGTTATTGTAAGGTTATGCATACATATAGATCTTGTATATAAAATCTGTATATGGGCTTAAAAACTAATTTTTATATTAAGACGCAATCATACGTTTTTGTTTTACATACATATTCATTTCAGTAAACGTTAACAATATCGCTTTATATAGTTTATTTTTGTGTAATTGTTTAATACATTTGTAAGTTGGAGTTGTAATGAGGCAAAATAAAGTTATAACACATTTATGAAAAATATAAAAGTCTAAGTACATTGAGAAAATAAATAGTTACCTATACGTTAGAAACATTCAAATGTTAACTACTCACGTGGTCAATCAGATATGGAAGTAGTTAAAGTACAAAATGGACTAAAAATGCATTGTACAGCCTTAAAAACTTAGGACATTAAAGAAAAAAGAAACAATTTGACAAAGACCTGATAAGAAGTTTTATAAATTTAAATTTTAAATACACTTTTTAAAGTCAGATTTTTATCTATTTATAATACCTATAATAGTACCTTTCCAATAACTTGATACTTTTAGAGCTGCTTGGTTAAAGGAATTGGAACGATCTAAGAACACACACACATATATATATACATATATAGGATAAACACAGACTTGGGATTACTTAAGTTAATGGACGAGCACTCAAACAAGTAGACTGCGTTTTGAGATGCTTGGTTAGTGGAATAATTTGCCCATGCGTAAATTGGTTACATAATGAATATGATCATGCATGTATAATGGAAACATATTTAAGTATTTTAAAGATATGTTTTAGTTCTAAGTAATCCATATTCTTTACAATTGATTTCCAATATCTTCGAGTAACTTCTATAAGTATTTATGTGGGCTCTTGCTTTATTGAAGTGTTTCACTTTAAGATGGTCTCACTACTTTTTAAATAAATTTCATAACTCCTATTAAATGTTAACGGCTCACTATTTATGTAAAAACTTCTTAATTTTTCTTGTTTAGCATATTTTTTGTCAAAAGGAACACTGAACAAAAACATATCTGGTAAGTCCTCTTCTCTATAGGTCTTTATCTTTAGTATAAATATGTCATAAGGTATCATATAATTTCTAGGACATTTAACAAGAATGTTATTAAAGGAACCCCCACACTACTTTACTAAGTTTTGTCTGAGGAATGCTGGAATGAAATGAGAAATTAACAGCCGTTGGAGAAGTAGAACGATAACTACACCTTTAACTTTACCTCGAACTTTTATAACGAATTTCTCCTGCGGAATACTTGAATGATATATGCAATACACGAAAGGTAAGAACATCTATAAGGGAATTTATATCTTAACTATTGAAATGTTCAATTGAAATACCTACAGTAAATGAAGAATATGATGTTCCTAACGGCAAATTATACAAAATATTTGACCTATTATTGGAACGTGGGGTGTTAGTTGCTTAAATTTTTAGATTTCGACTTCTGTCGAGAATTTGCGTCAGAAGTAAATCTCCTCCTCCTCTGGCTTGGCACGTGGCGCCTGCCCCGAACTGGCCAAAGGAGCAGTCACGCGTGCAGTTGCATTTGCATTGTTGCGGCTGCTCGTGGGTGTTTGAACCAGTCGTTGTTGCTGAGCAGCTGCTGCTGCTGCCCCTCCATATCCCACGTAATGTCCTGATGCATTTGGCGTTAAACTAGCGACCGGTGTTCCGGCTGCCTGCTGTATGACGGCTGGTGAGCTGCCGGTCCGAGCGTGCTGTGGCGTGGGCGTAACCATTTGTCGTTGTTTGTCAGCCAACTTAAGTGGAAACATTTGCTGCACTCCAGCGGAAGCAGGTGAGGACACATTATTGGAGCTATTATTGAAGCTGGCTGACTTATCGACACGCGTGCCGGATGACAACGACGATAACTTCATGGGCAGTTTCTGTTTCACGAGCGCCGAGCTTGCTTTCGGTGCATTATTCGCGCTAATCAAATGCACCGGCGGGGTTTTGTAATTGGATCCGCTGCTCAACCACTTTTCCTTGCGTCTATCAATGGTGGAGGCAGTTGCTGTTGTTGGTGTCGCTGCAGTGGGCGTGTCCAGCTCATGTACGTCCTCTGGCAAAGCAACAGGTGCGAGCGCTGGCGCAAGCGTTGGCAGCGGTGTACTGGGTGATAGCAAAAGACCTTGACTGGACAACAGCTCCATTTTACGGTAGAGTTGCTCACGCTGCTGACGTATGTCCTCCTGTTCGGCTTTAATTTGTTGCTGCAGCTGCAGCTGCTGTGCCCGCATTTCGGCCAACTCGTCCATTTGCTGTTGCTTCTGGCGCAACCAAGCAGTCTTCTCCTCCTGCAATTTGTCTTGCAAATTGCGCAGCTCCTCCAATTGATCCTTGTGCGTGTAAGCAGAGCTACCACCAGCACCTAAACCAGTTGTACCAACGGCGCTAGAGCCTCCCCCAATACTGCTGTTTCTTGGAGATTCACGATACAGCGCCAGTTGCAGTTGCAAACTCTGAATACAAGTCATCTGCTGTGAGATGATGCAGAGCAGAGTGTGCAAATGATGCGACACCTGGAGCACCGCATAATTATGCTCCTTAGTATTGGCGGGCAGCGTACTAGCATGGAGCTGCAGCGGCGTTGTCGTTGCGGTTAACTCCACTGGCATTTGGGTCTTCAGCTCACGCTTCTCTTCCAGCTCCTGTAACCGTGGCGTCAGCTTGGCATCCCGACCCACGACCAGTTTGCCCCTTTTCTCGTCGAAGCCCGCAAAGGTTTCCGCACGCTTCGGCAATGTGGGCGAGGCATAGAGAACACTTTGCTTTTCACCCACGCTACTCACGGTGCGAGAGACGGGCAGTCCGGTTGCAGCGCTATAAATGCTTGCTGCAAGCTGGCTAATATCTTGCACAGTGTTGAGAACACGTCGCCAGAGCTCCGTGGTATCGCAGTCCGTTGCGACCAACTCCTTATAGGAGCCAAAGGCGGCAAGGAAATTGGCCGCACTACCATTCGTATTAGCTGCATTGAGATCTTCACCAAAGGGTTGCTGTTGCTTGAGCAGATTAAACTGAAGCAACAGTTTCTCCTCCAGCAGTAGTGCCTGTTCAATATCCTTTTGGCGCATTTTCTCAATGATCTCGCGCTTGTTTACACCAATGCGTAGCTTTTCTTCAGCCGTCAATGCTTCAGCTTCGATAATATCCGTAGCAGGACAATCGAGCACTGCCTGCCTAATACCCTGGATCCAGGTTTGCTTATCCTTTGGCGTTTGCACTTTGAGCTCGTACATTTCGGGGAAATCGGGATTGGAACTGATTATATAGATTCCACGCGATTCGGTACCCGCTTTCTCGCGTATCAACAGCTTTTGCAATGGGACCACGCCCGCCTTATGCTCGGGCGTGAAAAACGCATACTTATTATGCGCCGAATTCTCGATAAGAAAGCAAAGGCAGTCCGTGAGCACCACAATCAAAACGAGCTGAGTCTTTGCCCGACCCTGCATCAACGTGGCTAAGCCATCAAATTTAAGACGTCGCCGTGACTCTACTCCCAGCTCGGTCTTGCGAAAGGGCTTATTCTTATAGATAGCAAACGATTTTGCATCGATACGGGCATAAATCTCCAGCTGCCTTTCACGCAGTTCCTTCTCCGCCACGCAAGCATCCACATCAACCAGGAGAGATTTCACCAGATTCAACGCATGTTGCAGCTTATCCGTCTCAAGTTTATTATCCCGTGCACTCTTCAACAACGGTTCAATCAGTAGCGGATATTTTGTTAGGCGCTGCGTGACAAACAATATGCACTCTGGTATTCCCTTTTTTTTGAGTAATGGATTCTGCAGACAGTGCTTGTACCATTCTGCAAAGCTGGGCTCCGAAAGGCATTGTTTAAACTGTTCCAAAGCACTGCGATGATTCGCACAGAATTCGCCGTAGGCCAATCGCAGACATTGGGCCTGCTCCAGCGAGAAGAACTCCAGCAAGATATCCGCAATGCTATCCACAAGCAGATGTTCGCGTTGCTTCTGCCGCAGCTGACGCAGGAAGCACGTGTGCAGCTCCGTTAGCTGCTGGAGCCGAGGAAACATACTGTGCGTATTAAGCGCTGGAAAATGCCGCTCCATACTCTCAACAAACACTTTACGCATTACAATCAACGTTTGGCAGTGATGCTTCTCGGTCATAATAAACTCGTAGATGTGTTCCTGCCGTTTGATTTGCAGTTCCTTGAGTGTTTTTAGTTGATCCTTGGGTACATTTGGAGTCCAGGAGTCGGGCTCTTGTAGGACGATGCCCAATACTGGATCGGCTCCCAAATCCTGTGCCTCAATTGGCGGTTCATTAAGAAATTGCAGCTCGGCGGCTCGTATTAATGGCTGCTGATCCTCTTGTTCCTGCATCTGATGATGCTGTTGGTAATGCTGCTGATGCAAAATCTCTGAGCCATCACAATAGTCCTGGCCTGCCGACAGTTTCTTACGTTCCAAATGCGTTTCCATATCGCTTAGCTGAACGCCACCTACTAACGACTTCGTCTTGGCCTTTGGTTTCTTTTTCCGAAAGAATAGGGAACCACGTTTTGGACGCTTCTCTACGTGATCGTAAACCTCGATTTTAGCATGTGAACGCAACAAAGTCTGATTTTCATCCTCGCTATCTGTGAGGTGTCGCGCTATCGCTTTGATATCCTCCTTGGCAATGATTGAAGAAGTTGAGATGCTCTTCTGCAACGGTATTCGGCTAATTATCTCCGTGGCTAAGCTTCTCTTAGCCGCAATACGCTCAAAATCGCGCGCCAGCTCCGCCTCGTTCAGGGAATGAGTTGAAATGCCTGAGAATACAAATTTTGCAATATGTAAAAAAAGGTATGGAAATGATAAATGAAAATCAAGTGAAATAACTTAAAAAAGGTAAATGCGTCTGACTCTTGGACTCCGCTACGAGGCACTGATAACGAATACTGTGAGGCTTTTGTGGAATTTCTTATCGTAATCGAAACTAAACACTAATTAGAGGTAAACTTATGGGGCATATTAATGCGTAAGAAGCGTTTATGACGCGTGAAATTAGAAATATTGAATTTATTCAATATTAAATTAAATTCAAAATTCAGTCATTTATAAAAATAAGAAATTTTGATTTATCGAAAAATGGAGGATAATTGAAATTCTTCTATCTAATGCTCTGATCTGCTGCATGTATTGCCCTCAATATTAATCAAATAAATTTTTTAATTATATTACTCAATTGTAAAGAAAAGAAAAAATTTATTTGTAGAATTTTTCTAAAATTCCGAAAGTGGTTGTAATTATCAGAAAAACTCCCCTGTAATACAGACTATTAGATTATATACCTAATACACTATTTAGCTCTATATTCATTATTCCTGTTGAGCTCCTTTTCTAAGGTCGCTGCGCATTCATGCAGAGCTTCTCTGTTCTACGTTACCATACTTAAAGCCAGTCGCAGTCTCCAATTTAATGGGAATCAAAGACTCTGCCTCGTCTATTAATGTTAGAAATGTTATCACTATAAAGCAGTTAGGCGACAAATTAATTCTAATTGAGCATAAACAAAGGGCGTTGGACACAACACTAATAGACTGTTTTTGGATCCTATAACACGGTAATTATAATGTCGCATTTTATTCTTATAAATGTAGAAGCTGTCAAACCTATTTGGACAATAACCTATTTTGATAAATAACTTCCATATAAAAAGATTCTATTAAGTCAGTCTAATAAATTTGTATATAGAGTCAACCATTTCATACCGCCTGTGCTATTCCTAGCTGAGCGCCTTCGTTGCTCGGTAACACGTATGGTCTCCTGTTCCTCGCTGTCTAGACTGGACAGGCTGACGCTCTTGTTAGTACAATCACCCGTCGCTGTGGTATCATCAACCGCCGTCCATGATTTCCGTCGATCTGTGTACAAGAGCAGGCATTGCTGTGGCGCTGCAGACCACATGATCCCCATGTTGTTGATGCCAACAGCGCCGTTGGCATTTGCGGGGCCTCCCGTATTGCTGAGATCGGGCAGCGAGGCGCTAAGTATCGCCGCATTGAGCAGGCCATAGCTATTAGCCAGACCATCTTGCTGATTGTGACTTGAGGAGTTCTTCATCTGCTGCACTGTTTCGCGTATATTTTGCAACTGGCTCAATGTGTCCTCGAAGATGTTGTTGTACTTGGAGGCCGATGCAGGACTATGAGGTGTCACATTAATTGTGGGTATCATGTTGTTATTGTTGCTGTGGTGTAGTGTACTGTTAGTATTGTTGTTATTATTGCTAGGAAGCGCCACAGCTGGGACAGGTGCATTAATAACAGGTATACAATAATTTTGACTTTCCACTGTAACGCGAGGAGCAGAATGTGTAATTTTTGATGTTGGCGCAGCAGGTGCAGCTGACACGTCTCCAACGTCGTTGCTGTTGCTATTGCAATTGGAGTTTAGAAAATCGGTGACCACATCATTATCGCTGTCATTGTCGTCGGCGTTATTGCTGCTGCTGGCACCAACGGTGAGGGTAGCGGCATCGGCGTTGGCGGCAACTGCAGCATTCTGCGTATTTTCCATAATATGTCTAGCAAAGGTTTTGGTATTTTCTTTATTTAACTTTTTGGTATTTTCTTCACTGCTTTACTTATTTGGCTGTTTGTAGAAAAAGAAAGTTTAGTACGCAACACCTACGCACACACACACACACAAACACAAGCAGAGCTTGCAGTTTTTGTCTTTTGTTGAACTGTTATTGATTTTCTCACGCACACACAAACACATCGACTTACCCACCTTGTTGCGCGTTCTAATTGTTGCGCCTTTCCCAGGCAAGGACGAGCACAACTTCAACACTGTCGCTACACCGTCCTTGTACACACAAATACAGAAAACAAAAGAAACAAGCGATAACCACAACAACAACAAAACAGCAGTGCCAGTAGGTTAGGGGAAATATTTATTCGAGCATAAGACAATTGTATCGTTTTTGTTGCTTTTAACATTTAAAAGTAAAATAATTTAAATTTAATGAAATTTCAAAAAGTTATACACTATTTGAGACACATATTTTCGCTGGTATGGAGTTGCTTGGAACAGACTCACTCAAACGACTCACTTAACTAAACGAACCGAACTAGTGTAAAATGGCTAGCTCATTTAGTTCGTTCTACTGCTTCTGACAACAGAATTTTAGACTGTTATTGATACCGGGTTATTAAAATAAAGTGTCGGTGCTTTACATTTTATTTATAATTTGCCATTACAAATTATATATTTTAAAAAGCATCAACAATTGTTATAATGTAACTTTATGAAAAAAATATATATATTTATATATAATTTCTTACGATTTAAATTTAAATTGTACAGCTGTTATGGTATGTTATGGTAACTTCAACAGAAAAAATACCACACAACGAACGATAAGAATTTGAACGTTGCCCTACACTGAGCGGGCGACAATTGTATCCGAGAAGAGGCAATAAGAAGAAAGAATAAATTTTTTAGCTAGTTTATAAATTGCCAAATTTTTAGTTAAATATATACATTTACATTCAGTGCATATCATTTGGGTTTCAATCCCACAGCCAGCCATGCAGGTGAGTCTTGCAGCGTGCAGCCAAGCCCTTAAGCCAACTGCAGCGAACTGCCGATAAACGAAACGTTGGCAAAAGGGACACGCAATCAAATTTTGTTTATGTTCTTTTCTCTTTTATTTTATGCTACTTAATTTTCTAGTGGTCGGTGATGTTCGCGCTGCTTGCCAGCAGCAGCATCGTCGTCATTGTAGATTGCTTTTATGTGCCCGGCGTGGCACCCGTTGAATTTGTGCGTGGACAAAAAATCGATGTTAAAGCGGTCAAAATGACAAGCAGCCGTACGCAGCTTCCCTATCAGTATTATTCACTGCGTTTCTGTTATCCCAAAAATGGAACCCTAATCTTCAAATCAGAGAATCTGGGTGAAGTTCTGCGTGGTGATCGCATAGTGAACACACCCTACGAGGTTCAAATGGCCGAGGACGTGAATTGCAAGCTGCTCTGTAACAAAAAAGACTTACCTATGACCTGGAGCAAAGAGGATTCGGCAATGGTCGCTGAGCGCATACACCACGAGTATTTTGTGCATTTGCTAGTTGACAATTTGCCAGTGGCAACACGCATTGTCAGTGCTTCAAATCCCGCTGAAGTGACGTACGAGCATGGTTATCGATTGGGACAAATAGATGGAGATAAGATGTACATTAACAACCACCTAAAGTTCATACTCTCCTATCATATGTATACCAAGGATAAATATCGTGTTGTTGGGTTTGAGGTACTAACTGGGTCAGTTAGCTACAAGGAACTTAAATTTGAGGGCGATAGCTGCAATTTTCCCGACAATCCGAGTCCCCAGCTCGTTAATCCTTCAGGTGAGACACAGCTCTACTTTACATACTCTGTTGTTTGGAAGGAGTCTAAGGTTAGCTGGGCCTCACGCTGGGACATTTACTTGGGCATGCGTGATGTGCAAATCCATTGGTTTAGCATCATCAATTCGCTGGTCGTCGTCTTCTTCCTATCTGGTATACTCACCATGATCATGATACGTACATTGAGGCGGGATATCGCTCGTTATAATACTGATGATAATATCGAAGATACGCTTGAGGAGACCGGCTGGAAGCTAGTCCATGGCGATGTCTTTAGACCGCCCAAAAATACGCGCCTCTTCTCTGCTATCATTGGCAGCGGGATTCAAATATTTTTCATGGCCATGATTACCATCTTTTTTGCAATGCTGGGCATGCTGTCGCCCTCTTCACGTGGCGCTTTAATGACATCCGGAATTTTTATGTACGTTTTCATGGGAACTATTGCCGGCTACTATGCAGCGCGTCTCTACAAGACGATGAAGGGACGGGAATGGAAACGGGCTGCCTTCCTAACGGCTACATTATATCCGGGTATTGTCTTTGGGTAAGTTTGTTCTTTTGTTTTATAAATTGGAAAATGCTTATATTTATATATTGGAATGCTTAACAGCACGGGCTTCATTTTGAACTTCTTCATTTGGGACAAGTCATCGAGCGGCGCTGTGCCTTTTACAACAATGATATCGCTGTTGTTGCTGTGGTTCGGCATATCTGTGCCGCTCGTTTATTTGGGATTTTATCTGGGCTACCGAAAGCAACCATATCAGCATCCAGTGCGAACGAATATGATACCACGCCAGGTGCCAACACAGCATTGGTATATGAATGCAGCCCTGAGGTTGGTCACTAGCTCTCCCTGATGAGAATCGTAACTAATCTTTCTCTCCTTTGTAGCACCTTAATGGCTGGCATCTTGCCATTTGGAGCCGTTTTCATCGAACTGTTCTTCGTTTTTACGGCAATTTGGCAGAATCAATTTTATTATTTATTTGGCTTTCTGTTTTTAGTATTTTGTATTCTAGTTGTTAGCTGTGGTCAAATCTCTATTGTTATGACGTACTTTCAACTGTGTGGCGAGGTATATTCTATATTCAAATACTCGACTGTGTAATACGCTTTATTAACTTTATTTTCTTGCAGGATTATCGGTGGTGGTGGCGCAGCTTCATTGTCTCTGGTGGGTCGGCTGTGTATGTGCTCTTCTATAGCATATTTTACTTTTTTACCAAGCTGGAGATCACAGAATTTATACCCACGCTGCTTTACTTGGGATATACAGGTGAGACATTATTATATATATATATATATATATATATATATATATATATATATATAAATATATATATATATATATATATATATATATATATAAATAATGTTGCTATTTATTAATCATTTATTTTTATTTTTATTAGGTTTAATGGTGCTAACATTTTGGCTATTGACTGGCTCCATTGGCTTCTTTGCTGCCTATGTTTTCATATTAAAAATCTATGGTGCCGTGAAAATTGATTAGAACATCTATAATCTGGCACACAATGCTGTACACCAAACTATCCCTGCAATATCATTTGATCGTAATACTTAATGCCTATAATATTATATTTATATACATTATATATATATATATATATATATATATATATATATATATATATATATATATATATATATATATTATTTATATGAAAAAGTCTACAAAGGCCATGTGTAAAATCTTGTTTAGCCCTCAACTCTCTTAACTAAGTGTGCTATAAGTTTACTTTATGCTTGCTGCTGCTGCTTAAATTAACGACAAAAATACCGATTGAGAATCTTTACTAAGAGTTTACGGGCGTCGCTCAATTTTCGAGTGCATTGCGTTACGATACATTCTAGAAACGCATAATTTATATATGTATTGTAAAAAATAAAAACCTAATTGTAAGCTAAAACAAACAAGAAATCTAATAAATGTAAGCTAAGTATAGATCGCGACCAAGTGATTAAAGTAAAATTATTTTATTAAGAAAGTTCCAGGTTAATGTTGTTATGCACTTGAAATTAAGGTAACAATCTACGTACCTGTGACTGAACCACACAAAAACATCTTTTTACAACGCCTAAGTAACAGTCATTTTCGTATTCGCTTGGCTGTCAACCATATCATACTGCCATTATATATATATTATACAAAAATCGCTCACATCTTAAGCATAACATCTTTTTAACATTTGTTACAATTTATACTGTAAGAGGCCAGAAGCTTCCTGGGGTTTTATACATAAATAGATTATTGAAAATTGAAAGGAAAAGTAACAATTATTTTATTTAGTTAGCTCAAAAAATTATCGTTCTATTTCTATAAAACATAATATATTTATATTATAGTAATGTTTTATCAATTTTATTTTTTCTCGCTAACATTTTATTTTATGTTCACATAACTGTTTTATTCAGACTTTAGAGAAGTTTATATATTTATTTTTTGTGGTAATGCTACACTTAAAGTTGTAGCGTCAACAACTTAGACTTACATTTAACTCATGAAAAGTATTTAAGGCGTGTAGTGTTAGGTTTAACACAACAGCTGCGCTAACATGTGTGCGGGTCCGTAGTTAGCATTCTACGAATTTAGCTTCTGGACAGAAGTATTGAACAAGCCAAAGGGGCTGTACACATTTGTAAGGTAAAAAAAGTGACAAAATGTTGAAAATAATTATAATAATGTTCCTGGGCATTGTTGGCATACAACTAGCGTTAGCAGTTGATTTCTTTGAGTATTACAAAGTAAGTCGAACTTCTTATATGCAGCTATATATATATATATATATATTTATGCCGTTTTACAGCAACGTGGCTATACAGATAAACAAAGTATCATTGGGAATGTCAGCAACGCAGTGTTCAACATGGCTCAAACGGTTTTTCCACGTATGTCACCAAGAAAAGATCAACAAACTATATATATATAATATAAAACATATTATAATAATCGTATAACTATATAAATTGACATAGCACAAACTAATTGTAAATTTATTTAATTTTTATTTCATCTTTTAGTATTTTACACAGAAATGATTTTAAAACTAGGCTATAAAATTCTATAGATCGCATCGGATGGTATACACATGTACACTAACTACGTGAGCCTAATGCTAATTTAGTTTACTTTAGTTAATGCACGACTTAATATGTATTTTAATAGGTCTTTAACTTTTTGTTTAGAGACGAGATGAACCGCATTCTCAATGTGAGCATTTAATCATAGTTCTGCTTGAACAACACTACCAATATTTTGATTTTTTTGTTTTTGGGGTCTCAATATTGTGCTAGTTATAGGACAGTTACTGAGAATATACACTTATAATCAACTGACAAAGTGTTCCCCCAATTCTTCCTGATTTTACTGCTTACTTTGTGGACGATGTCATTGAAATGATGTACGAATCGGTTTACCTCAACGGGTTCCGATTCCTTAAACGCTAGCGATTCCGTTTGGTCTTACGACTGACATTTCCCTCGATGATGATCTAAATAGATATATTTAAAGTATCATAGATTTAATTAAGCTTTTATGCATTTTGGATTTCTTTGTGGTTTTTTCTTAGGCACTGCCAACTCATAAGGACACTTAAATTGCTGTGGGCGTGGACATGGGTTGCAGTTTATTAAATAACATCGTCATATATACTATATATTTATGTACCTGTAGTATCTGGCTGGCCTCGAAACAGCTGCCAGGCAGCAGTATGACTGGAGAGCTGACATTGCCAGCCTCTACGCACAGCATGTTGGGAAATTCATCGTCGCCAAAGTCGCTCATCTCACGCGATCGATCGATCCAGGGATTCCAAATAACTGCATTAACCACAAGATTTTGGAAATTGAGATATTTACTATACTACGAAGTATCTCAAGATTGAGGAATACTATGTTATGCGGAGCAGTCTGTTAACTTGATATAGTGTTTAGTTAATTGTTGTCTTAGAATCAGCTCTAACTATGGTCTATTTAGATTTGAGTTCATAGTAAATAGAAATAAAGAATCAATCAATTTGGTCCTATTTACATTTGCAGAAAATAAATTGAAATAAAGTGAAAAGGAGACTTCACCAGTTGGCACTGAAAGTAACGTGACCGAGTCTTTTAACAGGGCATATCTTGTGAGGTATACTAAACACCTCACCAATTCAGATATATCACATGCAAATAACATTCAGAGCGGCACATTAACAGTTACTGTTGCTCAGCTCACCTGTGTCTGGGAAATTGTATTTGTGCAGCCTCATCTTACGCCCGGATACTACATTAGTTATCACATGCTCCTGTGGCGTATGCTGATAGATGCGATCCGTCCACTCGTTAACGGTAACCACCTCGCGACCCTCCTGAAGGTTAAACAAGGTATAAAACTGTAAGTATCCACCATACTTGGGAAGTCACCTAAAATTTACCTGATACAGAGCGCCCTCACGGGTCTTGTCTATAAAATGGCAGCCCTGCAGTCCAGTTATCTGACAGCGTCGAACATCTGGAACCTTTAGATAAGTGTGCAGCAGCATATTGAATGTAAAACTTAGATCTTTGCTAGGATTGTAGACGCCGATGTGAAAATGTAGCTCCTTTTCGCGCAGTATCAAGCGGTAGGTGATGCGAAATCTGTGCATAATACAAAGATTAATTTCATTTAATTGTCTGCCTTGCCAGACACCTACTGATAGTTCCATATAGAACGTGTAAACTCATTGTCCATCAGCGAAAATATTGCCTCCACGTCGCCATTGTGCAAACGTTCTGGGGCTCGATCCAAATGCCAGCGTGTGATTCTTGCAAAGCCATGCTGTGGACCAAAGGACCAGGGTCCAAATTGGGCTACAATTTGGAAGGATTTTCCCAGAGTTATGTACATTAACAAATATATGTCATATATGTGCGTATGCTTACGAAAAACAAAGGGTATGCCTCCACGAATTGCCTTTTTGCCATCGAAAGATGCCAACTTGCTGAAAGTGGAAGCAATATGTATTTATTTAACATTAATTAAATTTTTTATATTTTTAATTTAGATTATTATTAATATTTAAAATACTTAAAGAATGAGCTTATATTTATTTATTTGCTATACCGCTCATAGGCCGCTCGCAAAGAAAAAATTCGAATCTATGTCCTTTAGACCTTCCACTTCACTCTGCGTTATACTAAGCACAATAAAAGAGTTCACGATTTGTATAGGAAGCCAACATTAACTCACTTGACAAACTTTGGTGTTGTTTGAGCTTAAATGGCCGCAAATTATGTTGATTTGTATGTGGATATGATATGGTTGTAGATATATATATGTGATATATATATTTAAAATTTCTTTCGATTCAATGACGAAATGGTAAATACGCAAAACCAATATGCGTAGAGACCGCGGACTGCTTGCGGCAGGCTGCATACCAAGCCAACTAATTCTAATTGTTAATTCTTAGTGAACAATTTATAGATTTTTATTAAAATTCAGAAACTTTAATTGCCAAAAAAACGTTGAAATTAAAATTAGTTTTTAGTTTAATTTGAAGAGTTGTAGCACAAAAACTGGCGCAGACATTCAGAAATTTCTGAATCTCTTGCTTGAGCTGCGGATGGACGAAAAAAGTGTCTGGCAATTGGCGTTTGGCTGGCAACTTTTTGCTCAATGATTCAGTTGGCCTTTTACGTTTTTTGCTTGCGCTAATTTGCCGACGCATCCATCAACTGGGCCCCTTTGTCTTTGTTTGCTCCAAGAACCTGGCGAGGCAATTGTGTCATTAATATTGTTAGGTTGTTGGCCGTGCAACGTACAGCGGATCAGTCGGTTTTGACAGCGTTTTATGGAATTCAACCAAGTGGCATTTATTATGGCAGCTCTTTAAGCATTAGCTACTGAGCTAGTTTCTTTCTATTTTACTTTACCAAAGCCCCTACTCCCCCTGCCGCTCTCCCTGTCTCTCTTTCTCTCCCTCTCTCTCTCTCTCCCTCTCTCTCATTCTCTGTTTCCCACTTTTTATCTATCTTTCCGTTGCCAGTTGTTGCCACACGTAGAGCTCCTTTTGGCTCACACATTCGAAAAAAGTGTCCCTGGTTTTTTCTGGCACCAAACTGAACTTCAACTCGGCTCGCAGCTGTTTTTCTGTGAGTTCTTCGGCGCTGTTGCTGGGTTTCCAAATGCCAATGAGCAAAACAAAAAACGAAACTGTGATAAAAAATTGAACAAAAAAGGCGACGCAATGTGTAACGAACATTCGGACAAACAAACGAAAATGTTGAGAAAAACGTGAAAGCTAAGCAAAGAAAATGGGATTGGTTAGAAAAACATGGAAATTTTGATGTCCAACTATCTATATACCCTATATACCCTGTGAGCATTTACTTCAATATTCATAGGACTTTATGCAAAATAGAACTTAAATAAACTTCCAAATGATATTACGATTATTAAGCATTTAGACTGATGTAATTAATCTTAGTATTCCCTCTTAAAGTTTTCGAATTAAATAAAGTTGCAGTGAAAAATATCCATGCATTCTTAAAAGCAATTATCATTAATAAATCCCTTATAAGCTGATATGTAAAAGGTATTTAAGAAGAGGCAAGCCGCAGTTAAGACGCCACATTCCGACTTTTTGAGCCACTGTGCAAGTCAATGCATATTGTACATGGCACATCATGTAGTCGTAGTCGGGATTTATCGATCTAGATGCCGCGCCAAAAACTCCATTCATAAAAACCAGCACATTGTTTTCCTTGTTGTTGTTGTTGTTGTGGTTGTTGGTTTTTGTTGTTATCGTTGGCTAGAGCAGTACAGCATACACAGCAAGAGAGCGGCCCTCAAAGCTGCCCATTCTTCACATTTTGTCTTGTGCATGTGCAGCATACGCTCTCTTCGGCAAGCTCTTGCTCGCTCTCGCTAACTGCCGTTCGCTCTTGCTGTGGCGCTCAGGCCTCTCTTTTGTCGTTTTTTGTGCGTCTCTTTTTAGTTCGTTTCATGTTTTTGTTGTCGGGTATCAAGCGGAAACATTTTGCCGCCAAACGGAATGGCTAATGCTGCCCAACTCCCATACGCCTCTGTTCGTACTGCAGGGCATCCTTTGTGGCTAGCTGACGTCCAAGTGTGCGTATGCGTGTGTACATGGGTGTGCTTGTGTTGGTGTTGGTGTTGGTATGCGCTCGTCTGTTGAAAACTTTTGTCCAACACTTTTTTGGTTGCACACCGTTAGTTACCGTAGACTTGCGTAAGTTGCTTCAACTTCAAATGGTTGACTGTGCGCTTTGAGCTTAAAGTGGTCGATGCGGCGTATGCGTAATATTAAAAAAGCTTACCTAACAAACAACTGCTCCTGATTATTAACACGCCAGGACACAACAGTGGCACCTATTAAAAAATATTAAAAATATATTACCATTTTATTACCAGCAAAGGTTTTTTGAAGCAAGTAATTTGAAATATATATTTTAATTTAAAGAATGTTTGTTTTCATTTAAGCTAAACAAAGATTATTTCTAATGTCTTGTGTATCTTATCATAATAATTCTTTCGCCAATATAAATGTCTTTATCTATCTAATTAACTGTATTATTATGCTAAACAGTACGTTAACACTGCATTTGCATTAAAGCGGCCATTTGTATAAATCTATTTGTTTAACTTTAACATTTGCTAACATCGTTTGACCATTGTTAAGCGGCTTGTATTAACTTGTATAACTTTGTATTAACGGAATCCTTTCGGTGCTCAAGAATTAAAAAGAAAAATAATTACTCATATGTAAATTACAAACTGAATTTAAACGCTGCCAACTATGACTCACACATACACACACGCACGCTCGTGTAACCCACTAAACCTGCCAGCTGGACGGAACGAGAGAAAGACCTCCAGCTCCAATAGCCATTCGACTATTGGGTGGGTGCAACACAGATGCGTGTGGGTGTACATGAGTCTGTACCTCTATCTGTGTGTGAGTGTGTATGTATGATGGGGCCTGTTTTTATCCGTAAGCCTGCCTCCGTCTAAGCTACGCTTAAAGCTGCAGTATTTGAGTTGTGGAAAAATAAATATATATATAAAGCAAGCGGAAATCAAAAGTCTAGCCTAAAGTTTAAAGTTTGACTTCACTTTGGAAAAAACCTGGCTGCCAGTTGGATCGCATTTTGTGGTGGCAAATATGTGGCTGGCTGCGGCTCAAAAATCGCGTCGCAAAACGCAACGTGGGCAGAGTGAACGAGACGTCGTAATTGTTGAAAGTGTGCTTCGTACATAGAAATATGTACACAAGTATATATAAATATATATAAATAAACATATATAACGCCTAATCGAAATGTGTTGCGAGTAGGAGACAGATATGACGATCATAGCCAAAGGGAATAAGAATGAGAGCGAGAGAGAGGCAGGGCGGTGAGGAGAGAGAGGGAGGGAGGGAGAGAGAGAGACAGAGAGAGAGGCATAGATAGATCATTGGGACAATTGTGATAAGATAGTAGGATAGCCGTTGAGAGAGCGACGGTGTCTATTTTGGAAAGTTAATACAAGTTATTTACAAGGTTAACTAGGTTAACAATATAGTTGTACACCGGTCGAAAAGAAATGCAGTAATTGCGATAGAGATAGAGCTCACGATTTGTAAACCCTAAGCCGAACCACTTCCAGCTTTAAGCTTATGTATTTATTTATTAACAAAAAGTCTTTAACTAGAACATTAAATTTAAATCCAGTTCAATTGAATCTGAAGCAATCCCCAGCATTTTCTCACTGTGTATTTTAGCTCTGATAACCTCTATTTGTTGCATAAATTGTTGACGCAGCTCAACTCTATAAAATGAAAGTCCATAAAACGGTTAACAAAAACAAAATAAATAAATTATAAAAAATATTGCTAATCATGCGCTAAAAATAACGCCAACGATTTTTTCAATAGCTCCGAAGCACCGAAAAAAACTAAGAAATATTAATTGAGAATTTTTGTTGTATTATGTTTTGGTAAATTATGATTAATTATATGTACACACACAAACATACAGACAGACACAACCAAACTTACCATGCAAGTTGATTGTGCATGTCGTATTATTGCCACGATCCAATACAACAACACTGGTCGCTGCTACAGCAACCGCAGTCGTGGCCATTTTGTTTACGCGTAACGGTTCTTTAGGCCCGACTTCCTTTCTATTGGTTGGTAACAGCAGCGCCCTCTAGAATCGATCACAATTCAAGGATCTTTTTTTAAAAGGACTTTTGTATGTATATGTGTCTGATGTATTTGTGATATTTTAATTAACAAAACTGTTGAACACAAAATGCAACGCTAGTTAGAACTTGAAAATTGTTGCTGTTATTGATATTTAATTATTTATACGTAACATTCAATATAATTGCGAGAAATGTGTTCTGCAAAATAACCCAGAGCCAAAGCTGCTCACACACACACATACTAGCACAACACACGCAAAAGGCGGCCTCCCAAACGCTTACACTCACACACACACATGCAAAGCGCAGTTTGAGTTTTTGTCAATGAATAAATACGTAAGGAAAAAACTCGTGCAAAAAACGTTATGACTGAAAGTGTCGTAGTCCGCCCATATGTTGTTTCGCTCACAAACTCCCGATTGAAACTAAAAGCTTGAAACACACTCAGCTGATGAGGCTTGGCGCAAATTTGACAAATTAAAAATAAAAAGCTTGAATCTAACAGCTGATTATAAAGGGCTTGTGGTTTAATATCGATAGCTAAAGACTAAAACACTATCGACTAGTCATTGCATCGTTGTTTTACATCACTAGCAGAATACTGCTTCTTCTTTAATTCGTGAAATTTTTTTTGGATAACAAGATAAAAAGACGATTTTTACGACAATCATATAAAGTCCATTAAAATGCCGAAATTTTATAAAATTGAGATCAATCGTACCGAATGGGATATTCCTGAAACGTACCAAAATCTCCAGGCTGTTGGACAGGGTGCCTACGGCCAAGTGTGCAAGGCCCTGGTGCGAGGTACCTCGACAAAGGTGGCTATTAAGAAATTAGCCCGTCCTTTTCAATCGGCAGTGCATGCGAAGCGCACATACCGTGAGTTATGTCTCCTAAAGCACATGGATCACGAAAATGTTATTGGACTGCTGGATGTATTTCATCCCGGCCAGCCAGCCGATTCGTTGGATCAATTTCAGCAGGTCTACATGGTAACACATCTTATGGACGCTGATCTAAATAACATTATACGCACGCAGAAGCTATCAGACGAGCATGTGCAATTTCTTGTCTATCAGATATTGCGTGGATTAAAGTATATTCACAGCGCTGGGGTCATTCACCGTGATTTGAAACCCTCCAATTTGGCTGTAAATGAGGATTGCGAGCTGCGTATCTTAGATTTCGGACTGGCTCGACCCGCTGAGAGTGAAATGACGGGATATGTGGCAACGCGTTGGTATCGGGCGCCAGAAATTATGCTTAACTGGATGCACTACAATCAGACAGTTGACATTTGGTCTGTGGGCTGCATAATGGCTGAGCTGTTAACGGGACGTACTCTGTTTCCAGGCACCGATCACATACACCAGCTGAATCTAATCATGGAGGTGCTCGGCACACCTAATGATGAGTTTATGAACAAGATCTCGTCGGAAAGCGCACGCACCTATATACGATCATTGCCCGTGATGCCGCGTCGCAATTTCCGTGACGTTTTTCGAGGTGCCAATCCACTGGCCATTGAATTGCTGGAAAAGATGTTGGAACTGGATGCGGAAAAGCGTATTACAGCTGAACAGGCACTTGAACATCCATATATGGAGAAATGGCATGATCCCAGTGATGAGGCCACATCAACGCTCTACGATCAAAGTTTTGAGGAAGATGAAAATACGGTAGAGAAATGGAAGGAGATGGTGTTTACCGAAGTACGACGTTTTAAGCCACCGCAGGCATTTGCCGACCTCTTGTCGCAGGCTCAATAGCAAACAAACGATATGCTATAAATTTAGTTTTTTAGTTAATCACAAGTCGTCCCCAAATTGTATTCATAAAATTTGATCGTAATTGTTTCCAAAACTACTGTCGTCACAGCCTTAATATCCAGTTCAACTTTTTTGGTGTTGGTGCTTAACAATATATATGTAAATGTATGTATATATACTATATGTGTGTACAGTGAAAGCCCCTTTGAGCAACCTTGAATAACTACAAGACCTCTTTCACTGTGTATATATATATGCCTGTATTTTGTAAATGTAAATGTATGTATATTTATGTACAAGTCTGCAAAGTGTAGTCTATAGACGATATAGCCATAAAGGAGCTACAGCAGCTCTGTATAAATAAAGAGAATGCTATTGTATTTGCAACAGTTCAGTCAACAAAACCAAATGTAAAAGGACTTTTTAAACAAAAAAATTGTTATCGACTTTTCACATTATAGATCCTTTACAAAAGCTTTGCCAACTATTATAATAGTAGATCCTCTAGATAACGCTCGAATTCATGTTCTCTTGATGGTTTTTCCTTGCTTAGATCGAGCTGCTTACTCCAAATCTGCTCGTCCACAGCTGCACTTACATTGCTTGTGGCTTGTTGCTCTTCCTTTATCTGTTCGTCATCCTTCGGCAGCTCTTTAAAGTCATTCAGCTGATCTAGTTTGCGTCTCTTTTGCTTGCGGTTGGTTTTTAGTTCCTCTTTCGCTCTGCGACGCTGGCGTTTATGTTCTTTTTTCTTAGTTCGATAGTTAAGCTGTTCCGTATGCACAGGACAAAGACGCAACTGCAAAATTTAATCATTATAAATTAACCTCATGAAATACCTTTTTGCTTTAAATTAAGCCATTTTAAAGCAAATTCTCCTACCTTGACAAGTGCATTTTGAGGAGCACCTTGTTCGATATACTTAAAATTCACCTCCCAACTGCGCAGACCTTCGCGTTGGTCACAGTGTCGACTGCCACATTGGAATTGACCTAAGCCAGTGACGACTTCTTCTTCAGTGCGCCAGCGCAAAGCGATTTTATTCTCTTTGTAGCGCGTTAGATCAGCTATGCAATACTCTTTGAATAGCTTTCGATAGTAACGTAAGGCCAAACGTTGCTCCCAGCTCAGTCCGCCAATGTCGGCTTCATTCTCCTCGTCCCAAAGGAAGCGATGATTTTCACGTATAACATCAATGTCCCGCTTATGTTTGTGTGATTTACCTTCAATAGTAGTGGGCAGAACGTAATGATTAAGTATATAATTGTGACGTTCTTTGTCCGTGTATCTATCCAAATTGATAGGAAATATTGTGTTGCCACTCATTTTCCCAAAAAAAATAAACTAATCAATGTTGCCCGCTGGTGAAAAATACGCTACTGCTGATTCCAACTATCGAAAATAAAACATCGAAAATAGTCATACATATAAATGTATATATCGATACTTTTTTAATGACAACCCTCCTGACGCTAAGCGTACAATTTGAATCAGAAATAGAAAGCTGCTAACATGTTTACAAATTCTAACGGTAAAACTATAACATTAATAACGATCTCATGTAGCCATTCTTTATGTTTTTGTATTTGAATTTGCAGTGATCAAATAAGTTAGCCATAACTGAAGTCGAAAATTTTGAAATTGCAAAGAAAAAGTACGCACTGGTAAATTACATAATTTTAATTATAGATGAAAAATAATAGCGGGTTTACTCAATTTAACGAAAATATTTAATTTAATTTAAAATATCTAATAATAATTTTTAATTTTAATTATTAAAGAAAAACTAACAGAATACAAAAATAAAAATATGTAAAAAAAAACTATTATTTTTGCATTTCTTTCAATTTGGTTGTGAAATTTCGCTGAACACACATATAGAAATGAATAATTTTTATGTGGTATTCAATATTAAACTAAAACCAAAGTGTATAAAGTAAACTTAAAGCTAATAAAGTTTTGGAGACTCTAGCTCTTAAGCCGTTCGAGACATAATTCAATAACTGAATTTCTATAATATTTTTAATCAAAAACGATAAAACGGAAAAAGTTATAGATTATTTGAAATAAACTTTACATATGCATTGTATAAACGAACAAATAAAAAACCGAGCTATATTTTGTCAATATGTTCTTACTTACGGACAGGCGGACACGGCTTAATCGACCGAGCTTGTCGTTCTGGGCCAGCCACGCCTCCTTCTGCATGCTACATACATTTAAACAATACCATAATACCCTGATTTCACATTTTCAATTGGCTCGGGATATAAGAATCTATAAAATGATTAGAATATCACCTATTCGTAGGGTTCAGAGTATCTCCTAGTCGTTGTTATATATGTTTTAATGATGTTAACTCAATGTTCAAAAAATTTTGGGTAATTTGACTAAATGGGTTTTATTTAAAAATATAAAGTTGTAGTGTGTAAAGTTTTCTTGACAAACTGTATATAATCTGCATAAACAGGGATGTTCAGGCATGAACATACTGTAGTATATTAATAACGTAATCATAATACCCGAAGCAATGTAGAGTATTCTACATATAAATGCGTCATATGCCTAACATATGATAGTGTATACTAAATACGCATATAGTGACACTCGTCCCTACTCATAAACATAGAGCGAGCGCTAAGATAAACAATGGGAATATGATCAGCCATTAAAGTGTGGTCTGACCAGCAGCGTGGGAGATGCCGCGTACGCACTTTGTCTAAGGTCTATGCCACTTGCCTAATGTTTATGCCATATGCATATAAGTATATACAAGCTATATATATGAAGCTACACAACGGGAGAGCATAGTATGTCTCCCGCTTGGAGCTCCACTCATTACATAATGTACTTAGGCTAAGAGATGAAATACGCATGAGCTAGGGTATAAGAACTCTTGCTCAGACGAATAAAGATTATTACACAACTGAACACCACCACAGTTATATGTATTCACAAGGGATGTATATGCATATGTATGTACATACATATTTATGAATGCATACTTTTAAAGCGTGCATACTAGAAGTTTCTTCACTGATCTACAAATACTCGTAGAGAGAACTGTTTGAGAATTATAGTACCGTCATTTATAAGCTTGACAATCTCTGTTATCAAGTATATGTATATTTATGACTGTTGTATAGATTAATAAATGGAACTTATGATAAGATGAAAAAATAAATAAACAGAAGTAACAATTTGTAGGAATGCATGAGTACAACGAAAGAAACGTTTTGTGAATGATGAAGAAATGAATCACCAAAAAAGTACGTCTCTAGCTATATGCTGTTTATAATAATTACTTACGACCCTCTTATAGATGATGATGAATATATACGTGAGGGCTTCTTCACGCTACAGCATGTGATTGATCTCCAGTATATGCGCTACCAGGAAATTGATCCAAGATATGATCTGCTGGTCAATGTTATACCTAATCTGGAGCTAGGCGCATCTGACAGCTATCGTTTGGTCAATTTCGGCACGTTATTCAGCATATTATTCAAAATGCTACTGTTATTAACATTTCTGGTTCCCTTTGTCGAAGAGAAGCAAAGTGGCATTAAGGAGTTTCTAAATCTAGTTACGCCCATGAGCTTTTTGGACGGCCTTAGCTTTTTCATTATACGTATTCTATTGTATGGATGCTACCTGGTTATCAATTTGATTATCGCATCAAAATATGGCGCCCTGGGCTCGATTAATTTTATATGTATATTTACCCTATATTTATTATATATTATTGCATCTATGTCGTATTCCTATTTAATATCCGTCTGTTTTTTTTCGGGTAAGCTGGCAAATTTCTCTTTTATACACATGTACAGATATTTTTGCTGTTTTTTTAACAGTTTTTTATGCGAAAATCGGCGGATTCATCTTACTTATAATACCCTACGTGTTTAGTATTGTACGAAGCTGGATATCAAATTTGGCATTTGTGTTACTTTCGACAAACGCTTTTCTGGAAGGACTCGATGTATTCCAAACCTTCTGCAATAAGCGTAAGTCCAAAAGATTTTATTATTAATATTTAAAAAACAAGTTGCTTTAAATTAAATTTATTAATCAGATATTCTTAATCTTTAAATTGTTAATTGCAATGTACAATTGTATTTGATTGACCTATTAAATATGTTACAGATCGCGATTTTAAATTCTCCGATTTGAATCGAGTTATTAAAGATGACTTCAGCAGCATCTTTACGATTTATTTAACACTCATATGTCAGACCATTTTTTACGTATTGCTCTACAACTATTTGGTGCGCGTATTTCCCGGACCAGGCGGTCTGAAGCGTCCCTTTCTCTTCTTCCTAAATGTAAGTTGGTTATATTATTTCTAATTGTGTTTACCAATTTTTCTGTTTCTGTTGTCAGCCCGACACATATAAGAAGCGTCAGCGAAATGAATATACGACACAACCGCGTGGCGCACATGCCATCATCATCAGTGATCTCTGCAAAAAATTCAAGACAAGTAAACGCGAAAATAACATTGCAGACTATTTAAATATGACGATCAACAACAAGGAGATCACTGTTCTACTCGGACATAACGGTGCCGGAAAGACTACTATGATGAATATGATTTTGGGTATGTTTGAAATAATTCCAAGTCGAACTCTGAGGAGTTGTGGAATATAGGAATGTTTTCAAAAACAAATTGCTTGAGCTGAGATTTATATAAAATGCATGTTTTGAAATGATTTTCTATGATTAATTGAAATGACTTTTGTAAAACTTATCACATGTTGTTAGGTAGGCTTACCTACTAATTATATATTTTTATCACATATCAATCGATATCTGTAGAAATTTTCAATTATATCTATTTCCACTATATCCATCAACCTCTGTCTATTAGATATAATATAAATTATATTAAAAGGAAAACCATCCTGAGTGTAGTTGAGGTCTTCAATTGACAATTGTCTTATCGATGGCATTAGATGTCAGATGAGATGCCAATTCAACAAATGAAATAGTAATAGGTTATTACTAACTTTTGATTACATCACTTGCCTTCAACTTATTTTTGTAGGTATCGTTCCAAAGGATGCGGGTAAAATTGTTGTTTGCAGCGAAGGTGATGTTGCGTCGTATCGCCATCTGATCGGCTTCTGTCCACAGCATAGCGTTTTTATGAGCTACATGACCTGCCAGCAACATTTGGAATTCTTTGCCGAACTGCGGGGAGCGACACGATTCGATGCACGCAAATGGGCCGAATCGAAGCTGCAAAAGTTGAATCTCACAGATAAAGCACATAAATATGGTGTCATGTTATCAGGCGGCATGAAGCGACTAATGTGCTGTACTATATATATATTTAAACTTTAATAGTTCTTAATATTTAACTTTGTAGCCAAAATGTTATTAATTTCTCTTTTTTTGTAATTATTTATTGTGTAGAGGTTTACTGATAATAACAGAACAAAATTTAATTTTTCAGCATACTTACACTTTTTACCTTTTTGCTTTTACTACTATATTCAGACCCTATTAAATTGTAACACAGTAAAGTTCTGGTTCTTAATATAAGTTATAAGCATATATTGCTGATATTTCTACTATACCTACCACTATTACATTTTACCACTTACAGTAATTTTTTTTATATATATTATATATATCGAAGGCGGCGAGCTCGGAACTTGAGTGCAGCCCTGCGGGTTCCAACTATCGATGATAACTGGCCCCGTACGATTACATATCGAAAATTGTCAGGGTTGCTATTGAGGTCTTATCAAATTTTACGCCTAGAATCATAAATAAAATGATAATGTAAAGTTTATAATCAGGAATATATTTTTTAAACCATGGCACGTAGGCGTTCATTGTTTATTGTGTTTTTGCGGAAAAATTTGCTCTATTTGTGGTATTGCCGGACATTTTTAATCGGTACCTTTATTTTATGGACGGCAGTACAATGGAAGTATTTGCATTGGTCAAATAGATCCATCATATCTCAAGTCGACGAATATGAAAATAAGGACCATGTAAGTATACGTTTTACGTTCGAATGTTCACTTCCAATAATACTTGCATTCACTTCGAATAATACTAATAATGGGTAGAACTGTTTGAGAATTATACTTCCGTCATATTTATATGTATCTATATAAATAATGAAAAAATTTCTTGTGCTATTAATTAATCAATTAAATTGCACCTTATCAATACAAAGGTGGTCGTTATCATTGGATTGCTTATATCATATTAAAATATTTGTTTGAATAAAGGTTTTATTTATTTTTGTATTCTAGGAGGCCCTTCTAGGCTATTTTCCTGGGAATGAATACGATTGGATATATTATACACCCAATACTGATAATACGAGACGCTTAATGGATCTTGTGCGAAATGAACTAGGAATTCAATTTGAACGTACGATCTTTAAACATTTGTATACTTGAAAAAATAAAAATAAACAGAAGTAACAATTTGTAGGCATGCATGAGTACAACGATAGTGCGGAAATGCAGTTTGATATGGAACAGCAGTGCAGAGGAAGCTGCTTTGCCATCAATTATCAGTCATTACCAGACCTAGGATCTGGCTCGGGCATAAAATATAGTCTGTCATCGAATCGATTACGCAGTTCCCCAAAGAAACGTTTTGTGAATGATGAAGAAATGAATCACCAAAAAAGTACGTCTCTAGCTATATGCTGTTTATAATAATTACTTACGACCCTCTTATAGATGATGATGAATATATACGTGAGGGCTTCTTCACGCTACAGCATGTGATTGATCTCCAGTATATGCGCTACCAGGAAATTGATCCAAGATATGATCTGCTGGTCAATGTTATACCTAATCTGGAGCTAGGCGCATCTGACAGCTATCGTTTGGTCAATTTCGGCACGTTATTCAGCATATTATTCAAAATGCTACTGTTATTAACATTTCTGGTTCCCTTTGTCGAAGAGAAGCAAAGTGGCATTAAGGAGTTTCTAAATCTAGTTACGCCCATGAGCTTTTTGGACGGCCTTAGCTTTTTCATTATACGTATTCTATTGTATGGATGCTACCTGGTTATCAATTTGATTATCGCATCAAAATATGGCGCCCTGGGCTCGATTAATTTTATATGTATATTTACCCTATATTTATTATATATTATTGCATCTATGTCGTATTCCTATTTAATATCCGTCTGTTTTTTTTCGGGTAAGCTGGCAAATTTCTCTTTTATACACATGTACAGATATTTTTGCTGTTTTTTTAACAGTTTTTTATGCGAAAATCGGCGGATTCATCTTACTTATAATACCCTACGTGTTTAGTATTGTACGAAGCTGGATATCAAATTTGGCATTTGTGTTACTTTCGACAAACGCTTTTCTGGAAGGACTCGATGTATTCCAAACCTTCTGCAATAAGCGTAAGTCCAAAAGATTTTATTATTAATATTTAAAAAACAAGTTGCTTTAAATTAAATTTATTAATCAGATATTCTTAATCTTTAAATTGTTAATTGCAATGTACAATTGTATTTGATTGACCTATTAAATATGTTACAGATCGCGATTTTAAATTCTCCGATTTGAATCGAGTTATTAAAGATGACTTCAGCAGCATCTTTACGATTTATTTAACACTCATATGTCAGACCATTTTTTACGTATTGCTCTACAACTATTTGGTGCGCGTATTTCCCGGACCAGGCGGTCTGAAGCGTCCCTTTCTCTTCTTCCTAAATGTAAGTTGGTTATATTATTTCTAATTGTGTTTACCAATTTTTCTGTTTCTGTTGTCAGCCCGACACATATAAGAAGCGTCAGCGAAATGAATATACGACACAACCGCGTGGCGCACATGCCATCATCATCAGTGATCTCTGCAAAAAATTCAAGACAAGTAAACGCGAAAATAACATTGCAGACTATTTAAATATGACGATCAACAACAAGGAGATCACTGTTCTACTCGGATATAACGGTGCCGGAAAGACTACTATGATGAATATGATTTTGGGTATGTTTGAAATAATTCCAAGTCGAACTCTGAGGAGTTGTGGAATATAGGAATGTTTTCAAAAACAAATTGCTTGAGCTGAGATTTATATAAAATGCATGTTTTGAAATGATTTTCTATGATTAATTGAAATGACTTTTGTAAAACTTATCACATGTTGTTAGGTAGGCTTACCTACTAATTATATATTTTTATCACATATCAATCGATATCTGTAGAAATTTTCAATTATATCTATTTCCACTATATCCATCAACCTCTGTCTATTAGATATAATATAAATTATATTAAAAGGAAAACCATCCTGAGTGTAGTTGAGGTCTTCAATTGACAATTGTCTTATCGATGGCATTAGATGTCAGATGAGATGCCAATTCAACAAATGAAATAGTAATAGGTTATTACTAACTTTTGATTACATCACTTGCCTTCAACTTATTTTTGTAGGTATCGTTCCAAAGGATGCGGGTAAAATTGTTGTTTGCAGCGAAGGTGATGTTGCGTCGTATCGCCATCTGATCGGCTTCTGTCCACAGCATAGCGTTTTTATGAGCTACATGACCTGCCAGCAACATTTGGAATTCTTTGCCGAACTGCGGGGAGCGACACGATTCGATGCACGCAAATGGGCCGAATCGAAGCTGCAAAAGTTGAATCTCACAGATAAAGCACATAAATATGGTGTCATGTTATCAGGCGGCATGAAGCGACTAATGTGCTGTACTATATATATATTTAAACTTTAATAGTTCTTAATATTTAACTTTGTAGCCAAAATGTTATTAATTTCTCTTTTTTTGTAATTATTTATTGTGTAGAGGTTTACTGATAATAACAGAACAAAATTTAATTTTTCAGCATACTTACACTTTTTACCTTTTTGCTTTTACTACTATATTCAGACCCTATTAAATTGTAACACAGTAAAGTTCTGGTTCTTAATATAAGTTATAAGCATATATTGCTGATATTTCTACTATACCTACCACTATTACATTTTACCACTTACAGTAATTTTTTTTATATATATTATATATATCGAAGGCGGCGAGCTCGGAACTTGAGTGCAGCCCTGCGGGTTCCAACTATCGATGATAACTGGCCCCGTACGATTACATATCGAAAATTGTCAGGGTTGCTATTGAGGTCTTATCAAATTTTACGCCTAGAATCATAAATAAAATGATAATGTAAAGTTTATAATCAGGAATATATTTTTTAAACCATGGCACGTAGGCGTTCATTGTTTATTGTGTTTTTGCGGAAAAATTTGCTCTATTTGTGGTATTGCCGGACATTTTTAATCGGTACCTTTATTTTATGGACGGCAGTACAATGGAAGTATTTGCATTGGTCAAATAGATCCATCATATCTCAAGTCGACGAATATGAAAATAAGGACCATGTAAGTATACGTTTTACGTTCGAATGTTCACTTCCAATAATACTTGCATTCACTTCGAATAATACTAATAATGGGTAGAACTGTTTGAGAATTATACTTCCGTCATATTTATATGTATCTATATAAATAATGAAAAAATTTCTTGTGCTATTAATTAATCAATTAAATTGCACCTTATCAATACAAAGGTGGTCGTTATCATTGGATTGCTTATATCATATTAAAATATTTGTTTGAATAAAGGTTTTATTTATTTTTGTATTCTAGGAGGCCCTTCTAGGCTATTTTCCTGGGAATGAATACGATTGGATATATTATACACCCAATACTGATAATACGAGACGCTTAATGGATCTTGTGCGAAATGAACTAGGAATTCAATTTGAACGTACGATCTTTAAACATTTGTATACTTGAAAAAATAAAAATAAACAGAAGTAACAATTTGTAGGCATGCATGAGTACAACGATAGTGCGGAAATGCAGTTTGATATGGAACAGCAGTGCAGAGGAAGCTGCTTTGCCATCAATTATCAGTCATTACCAGACCTAGGATCTGGCTCGGGCATAAAATATAGTCTGTCATCGAATCGATTACGCAGTTCCCCAAAGAAACGTTTTGTGAATGATGAAGAAATGAATCACCAAAAAAGTACGTCTCTAGCTATATGCTGTTTATAATAATTACTTACGACCCTCTTATAGATGATGATGAATATATACGTGAGGGCTTCTTCACGCTACAGCATGTGATTGATCTCCAGTATATGCGCTACCAGGAAATTGATCCAAGATATGATCTGCTGGTCAATGTTATACCTAATCTGGAGCTAGGCGCATCTGACAGCTATCGTTTGGTCAATTTCGGCACGTTATTCAGCATATTATTCAAAATGCTACTGTTATTAACATTTCTGGTTCCCTTTGTCGAAGAGAAGCAAAGTGGCATTAAGGAGTTTCTAAATCTAGTTACGCCCATGAGCTTTTTGGACGGCCTTAGCTTTTTCATTATACGTATTCTATTGTATGGATGCTACCTGGTTATCAATTTGATTATCGCATCAAAATATGGCGCCCTGGGCTCGATTAATTTTATATGTATATTTACCCTATATTTATTATATATTATTGCATCTATGTCGTATTCCTATTTAATATCCGTCTGTTTTTTTTCGGGTAAGCTGGCAAATTTCTCTTTTATACACATGTACAGATATTTTTGCTGTTTTTTTAACAGTTTTTTATGCGAAAATCGGCGGATTCATCTTACTTATAATACCCTACGTGTTTAGTATTGTACGAAGCTGGATATCAAATTTGGCATTTGTGTTACTTTCGACAAACGCTTTTCTGGAAGGACTCGATGTATTCCAAACCTTCTGCAATAAGCGTAAGTCCAAAAGATTTTATTATTAATATTTAAAAAACAAGTTGCTTTAAATTAAATTTATTAATCAGATATTCTTAATCTTTAAATTGTTAATTGCAATGTACAATTGTATTTGATTGACCTATTAAATATGTTACAGATCGCGATTTTAAATTCTCCGATTTGAATCGAGTTATTAAAGATGACTTCAGCAGCATCTTTACGATTTATTTAACACTCATATGTCAGACCATTTTTTACGTATTGCTCTACAACTATTTGGTGCGCGTATTTCCCGGACCAGGCGGTCTGAAGCGTCCCTTTCTCTTCTTCCTAAATGTAAGTTGGTTATATTATTTCTAATTGTGTTTACCAATTTTTCTGTTTCTGTTGTCAGCCCGACACATATAAGAAGCGTCAGCGAAATGAATATACGACACAACCGCGTGGCGCACATGCCATCATCATCAGTGATCTCTGCAAAAAATTCAAGACAAGTAAACGCGAAAATAACATTGCAGACTATTTAAATATGACGATCAACAACAAGGAGATCACTGTTCTACTCGGATATAACGGTGCCGGAAAGACTACTATGATGAATATGATTTTGGGTATGTTTGAAATAATTCCAAGTCGAACTCTGAGGAGTTGTGGAATATAGGAATGTTTTCAAAAACAAATTGCTTGAGCTGAGATTTATATAAAATGCATGTTTTGAAATGATTTTCTATGATTAATTGAAATGACTTTTGTAAAACTTATCACATGTTGTTAGGTAGGCTTACCTACTAATTATATATTTTTATCACATATCAATCGATATCTGTAGAAATTTTCAATTATATCTATTTCCACTATATCCATCAACCTCTGTCTATTAGATATAATATAAATTATATTAAAAGGAAAACCATCCTGAGTGTAGTTGAGGTCTTCAATTGACAATTGTCTTATCGATGGCATTAGATGTCAGATGAGATGCCAATTCAACAAATGAAATAGTAATAGGTTATTACTAACTTTTGATTACATCACTTGCCTTCAACTTATTTTTGTAGGTATCGTTCCAAAGGATGCGGGTAAAATTGTTGTTTGCAGCGAAGGTGATGTTGCGTCGTATCGCCATCTGATCGGCTTCTGTCCACAGCATAGCGTTTTTATGAGCTACATGACCTGCCAGCAACATTTGGAATTCTTTGCCGAACTGCGGGGAGCGACACGATTCGATGCACGCAAATGGGCCGAATCGAAGCTGCAAAAGTTGAACCTCACAGATAAAGCACATAAATATGGTGGCATGTTATCAGGCGGCATGAAGCGACGTTTATCGTTAGGAATTGCGATAGCTGGAAACACTAAGTAAGAAACTGTTATATACATTTCAAACTAATGTGCTCAAATTTGCAGACGATCTCCCCGGAGTGAATCGCAGCTCCAACCAAAGTCCATAAATTTGGAAGACAAAATCCACTCGGACGAGTCGAAGGGCAGACCAAAGCCTCAATTTGGTAGATTTTCTTCGTAACGGAGAAAGTCGAGGGTCATATCAAAGTCCTCAATTTTGGGAGACTAATCCTAATGGACTAGTCGAAAGGCCTACCAGAGCCTTAATTTGGTAGACAAAATCCTCGCGATGAGTCGAAGGGCGTACCAGAGTTAAAGCTCTGGGAGACGTGTCCTTCTGGATACATCGAAGGTCTTACCAAAGTCCTTAAGTTTGGTAGACGAATCCTTACGGACTAGTCGAAGGGCAAACCAAAGCTTCAATTTGGTAGACTCTCTTCTCTCCGGAGAAAGTCGGAAGGCTGACCAAAGTCCTTAGATTGGGAGACAAATCCTTTAATTTGGTAGACTCACTCTTTCGGGAGTCAGTCGCCGGTGTTTACCCAGTTCCTGGTTGTCGGAAACCAAAATGGGAAGCAGTCTCTGACTGCGATCTGCCGATCAAAGCTGTTAACTTGAACCACGGGATGGGCTGGTGGCCAAGGCCAGCCCAATTGAGGTTGGCCCCCTTTAGTGGCAGTATTGTGGTGGCTGTGGTTTATAAAATGTGGTTAAACATAAAGTTGGACCACAGCCGGAAGCTGTTCCCGCAGTCAGCAGAGGTTAAGATAGGCCTCGCCTCTACCCAAGAGGGAAGCCATGCCCGACAGCATGAATTCGAACTTGGTACCTAAAAGAGTTTCTTTTAGGGGCGTTGGTGGACGCATCGTATTCACCCGCTGTACTTTGTGTCACATATGTGGCTCAAACGCGTACCGTGGTTGTAAATATCAGGACTCTGTACTATATATATTTAATCTTTAATAGTTCTTAATATTTAACTTTGTAGCCAAAATGTTATTAATTTCTCTTTTTTTGTAATTATTTATTGTATAGAGGCTTACTGATAATAATAGAACAAAATTTACTTTTACAGCATACTTACACTTTTTACTTTTTTGCTTTTACTACTATATTCAGACCCTATTAAATTGTAACACGGTAAAATTCTGGTTCTTAATATAAGTCATAAGTCCGTTACGGTAGAATCATTACATGGTTAGTGTGCCGTTGGCTTTTATTAATTCTTACTATAACTATTTCACTTACAGAATTGTAATATTGGACGAACCATCCTCAGGTCTAGATATCGAATCACGCCGCGAACTTTGGGACATTTTGCTAAAGCTTCGCAAAGAGAAGGCCATTCTGGTGACAACACATTATATGGAAGAGGCCGAAGTGCTCGGCGATACAATTTGTATACTGGCAAACGGCAAGTTGCAAAAGACCGGATCACCGTTGGAACTAAAGCGTACATCGGGCAGTGGCTATCGACTTAAGCTGGAAGCCCACGAGTCAAATTTTCTTAAGGAAGCTACCTTATCTGAAATACGCAAATTTATATCAACTGCTTCCCTGGAGGTTAGCATCTGCATGTTATTATATTTTTGTATATATATAAATATGTATAATTTTCGTTATTTACATATAGAATATCGTGAAGCCTACGGTTTATATAAACCTGCCGTATGATTTTAACTTGAAGTATCATGACATGTTACACAGTTTGGAGGGAGCTAAAGATCGTCTGGGTATTATAACGATTTCTATTGCTGATACCTCATTAGAACGTGTGTTTTTAAAGTAAGTTTATACTGTTCGTTCATTTATTCATTTAATACTTTCATTTAATACTTTCATTAATTATCTTGTGCTTAGTTGTGCTGGAGAAGCTGATCAAGTTGATAATCCCGATGGTACCCGTAATAGTCAACATCCCTTGATTCACTCATACAAACGACTAGGAAATATTCAGCCAAATTTCTTACAACTGTGCTCTGCTATTTTCTACAAAAAATTTACATTTTTAACTAAAGAATGGAAATATACCGCAATTATGGTAATTTGAAAAATTCAAATTAAAAACTATTTTCGTAAAGTGGAATTGAATGTTGAAAACGATAGTCACACCAACTCAATATAATATATTATTATTTTGCATATATGTACATAAACGCAGGTAGCAAAGCGAAAGTAGTGTTAACTTCCACAGTTCGAGATAGGAAACTGAGTTTTTCTATTACATAAATAATTATAAAGTAAATTGCAGTTCCCTCTTAACTCAGTAATTTTTGATTAGCAATTATTTTTGAAATGTTTATCGTCTACACATAGTATATTAACAATAATTAGTTTTTCAATTTCAATGGTGAAATTCGTTTTAGGCCTATTTATGATTATTTGTTTATTCAACGATTTTAAGGACATTATTTTGAAATCAATTTTCAATTATTTCTTCTGCAGTTAAGCTTACCTATTGTTAGTATCGTGTTTTCTATTATGCTGATGCATTATATGTCCGTGGTGAAAAATGACGAAACTTTGCCACTGAAACTAAGCCAGCTACGCACAGGCACTATCTATATCTACAATCCATCGGGCTATGATGGACAATTCGAGCAACAATTGCGTCAATATATTCAACAGAATGGAATCAATGCTAAGACGTTAATGGTACGAAGGAACTTTACCATTATGCAGGGTAATATGTCGTAAAATATTATGTACGTTATAAGTTTTTTTTAATTCGGTTCAATCTTTCTACAGAGTTGAAACAGATGCAGCGTGATAATTTGGCTGACTTTCTTGAGGATACCATTGGTGTGATTAGTATTTATGGAGCTCAAAGATCCGGTGAGAAATCGAAAATAGAAATGTATTGGGAAAGCAATCGTTATCACAGCAGCATCATTCTGCTAAATATGTTGGATACCTGCATTCTACAGCAACTAGACGGACAGGAGAAAGCCTTTATCAGTGCTAAATATCTACCCATTAGGCGTTTCATTAACGATGTCAGCTCTTCTCGGCTCGAATACTTTGTAGTCATCGTTGCAGTCGCCAATGTTTTCTACATGTTCTACTACATAGTATTGCCTTTTAGGGAGCATGTTAACGGCTTTTATCAACTGCAACCTATGTCACGCTTCACATACTGGTGGGCCACGTTTATATTTGATATGCTATTGCATGGCATCGTCTGTCTGACGTTGTTACTGATTCAGCGCCTGATAATGCCAGATGAGCTGTACAAAATCGAAGATCAAAAACTAATTGCATGGAGTGTATTCTTTTACGGCTGCAGCTATTTACCCATTTTGTACGTTCTGGGTAATAACTTTGAATCCATATCAACAATTTCAACATATATTCTGTTTATGCTTATTGTTTCAGGTAAGTGGTTAATATAAATATAAATAACTAGAAATATAAATAAATATATATATATATATATATATATATATATATATATATATATATATATATATATATATATGTATATATATATATATATGTAAACTTAATTATTAGTATAACTAGACTAAGCATTCCCTACCTATATATATATATAGAGGTGGACATCAAAATACTAAATCTTACAACTTTACAATATTTTAACTAAAGGATCGTTTTATTCTGAAGTTGACCACGGGCTTCCTTCTTGAAAGATCGAATAAACATTGAGGGATTTTATCTTTCAATTTTATTGGATTTTGAAATATAACGAGTTTTGTTGCAACATTTTTAACTACTACTCTATTTGACTATTTACTCTATTTTCATATTCTTTTAGAGATTGCACCTTTAATCACCTCTACCAGCGTTCAGGCAATGAAATTCCATGAAACAAAAATTGCTTTCCTGCGCTTTTTGCCCGATTTCAATTTGAATCATCAGCTACGCATAATCAACGAAAACCTTTTGGCGCAACGAAAGAAATCATTAATTTCTCCGGAATCCACTGGCATATTTTTTGCGTATGCACTTACTGTGTTCTTCGTGGTAATGGGTTTCTTCACAATTGTGATAGAAAACAAATACTATCGCCGTCAACTTATCGATTTTTTCCGTGGTAAAAGTTGCAAGTTACCGGCGAAGAGTAGCCCTACTTCAGTTGTAAATGATACAAGTTCTCAGCTGGAAATGGGTTGCATGAACGATTGCAACAGTGAAGAGCAGCAAGTAAAGCAGTTACTTGCAGACAATGAAAGAAACGGCAATGACAAATCCCACAATTATCCATTGATCGTTAGCGATCTGCGCAAGAGCTATGCAGGCAAACATGCTGTCTGTGGTATAAGCTTCGCTGCTAAGCCCGGTGAATGCTTCGGACTATTGGGTGTTAATGGAGCCGGCAAGACAACTACTTTCGAAATGATCACAGCCAACAAGGTTTTGGATAGTGGGCATATACAGATTAAGGGTATTGATGTACGCCAGAACGAGGTGCTCTTTCGACAGCAATTTGGCTACTGTCCACAATACGATGCACTCAATCAATTTATGACTGCCGAGCAATGCCTTCGATTGATGGCACTGCTACGTGGTCTCCCTCTCAGGTCCGAGGACAGTGGAACTACAGTGAAAAACAATGTTGAATACTGGTTGAATAAAATGAATTTGACTAAATATCGTGATGTGGCCGTGAAATGCTATTCGGGTGGCACGAAACGGAAACTTCTGGCTGCCATGGCCATGATTGGGGAGCCACCGCTGTTGCTGCTGGATGAACCGACAACGGGTGTGGATCCCATATCACGGCGATTGTTATGGGAGTGCATTAAAGACTTCCAGGCCGAAAATCGAACAGTGGTGCTTACATCACACAGGTGGGTTCCACTTCAGCAAAATTCTCTTCGCTAATAACAGGTTTTCTCTTCTGTTATCCATATGCAGCATGGATGAGTGCGAGGAGCTGTGCAATCGACTGGCCATCATGGCAAATGGCAAATTCAAATGCCTAAATAACATTTGCGCTCTGAAGCGCTTAAGCGGCTTTACAATTAAACTGAAAATGCGAATCGACATGGACTCTGAGACAAATATCACGAAAATTACGGACACACTTAAAGAACACTTCAAGCAAATGGATCTGCGTGAGAGTCATGCAGGCACATTAACATATTTTATTTGCACAGACGAGCAGATCCTTTGGTCAAAAGTATTTAAAATAACAGAGGAATATTTGGGAGAAAAGCACCAAAATCTAGTGGAGTATTATTCAGTAAATGAATGTACCCTAGAGGATATATTTTTAAAATTCGAGAGACAGTCAAAATCATTAACACATTCAAGTTCGGTCTCTCATAACTATATTTAAGCCTTAAATTTGATTATCTAAAAAAAATATCAACATAAATATATTATTTATATTAAAAAAATCTACTTAAAATACTAAAATACATACTTCGTATAAAAACTTATCAGTTTTACAAAGACTGTACTTATAATTTTTTTATATTAAAATTATGGGTGGGTCATACATCTATCCCAGTTATCATATGGCTAATGGCAACAGAGTGTGAAAGTAATGTATAAATATTAATATTTTCGTATTTTCTTATATACTTATAAATTCAATACTATAAAAATATTCGCATTGGTTTCATTTAAAAAGTCCAAGATATTTAAATATCTTTTATTTTCAATAGTTGTTCAATTGAGCAATTTTATTTTGTTCACCAATTAACCGGTTGCTTGGTTAGGTCATTGCAAACGTCATATGAACAAATCTAGTGAACTGAATCGCCGAACATTATAGAGTTCTTTCGGTAGTTCAAAATTGAACTGACTCAGTGAACAGATTGCAAGCTATTCGATACAATTTGTTAATTTGGAAATCGATGCCAAACAATATAGGCAAACAATAATGGCGCGTAGTAAAATTTGGAAATATTATGATAAAATAGATCTCCAGACAGCACAATGTTTGCTCTGCGAAAAGATAATAAAGACCTGTGGCAATACGTCCAATCTGATGAAACACATGAAGACCCATCCACAAATGTAGGCCGAGAATACAGAATATTTAAGTACATCTACTCAACAGCGTTTGTTTACAGCGATGTCAATGACCATGACTCGATTGTTGTTCGAGGCATTCTCAAACGTGAGCCAAATCCTATTAAAAGCCGTGGACGAAAGCAACTTAAGTATGCATCCATCAAAATTAAATCGGAGCCAAAGCGAGAAGTCGATAATGATCAAGTTACCAACGATATGGATGTGAACATAATCGAGCTGGTGGATGCGGAAGCGACTGCAGCGGTCGACAGTGTAGCTAGTGAGGAGACGTATGCCAATTGGGCGACGGCGGCGGCAGAGACTGAATCAGCCACGGAGACCGTAAGTGCAGAGGACATTATAGAATTTGAGCCAAAGGAGGCAAACGAACAGAACGATCAACGATCAGTGTACCAAATGCAAAGCGAAGAAGCGCAGCCAGAAATGGATCATCTGATTGCCAGGTTGGTGAGACAATCAATCATATATAAATTACGGCTAACTCATCTATTTGCAGTAACAATGTTTATCAGAACAGTTTAGCATACTTTATATGCCACGACAAACAGCCGTTAAATATGATAAAGGGCGAGGGGTTTAAGCGTTTAGTCCAAGTACTTTGTCCCACCTTCCGTTTACCCAGCTCTGAGCAGCTGGCTGCGCACATTGGTCAAAGAGCACAAATTCAAATAGCGCAGTTGCGGCAGGTATTTGCACATGTGCAAAGCCTGTCACTGAGCTGCGCCATTAACACAAAGTCCGAGCAACAATTTAGCTACCTGGAGGTGGCTGCACACTATAACGAAGGCCTGTATCGACGCTCAAAAACAATCTCTGTGCAAATGCTACCCTTGCAGTATAATGCGAGCAACATAGTGGAACGTTTGGATCGCATTTGCCAACGATTTGACATAGACAAATCGAAAATTGTTTGCATTGTGAGCCGCAGTAATCGTTTGATGGAGAACGCGGTAGCCATGTTGTTGGGTAGCCAACGGCATGTGCCTTGTTTTGCCCATCTGCTGGAACAGCTGTTCGAGTTGGTCGTACAGCGCCATGAATTCAGTGCTCTTTGCGACAAGGTGCGTCGCTGTCAGGGTCAACAAATGGAGAAGATAGATGTGGCGGGAAGACCTTTAAGCAGCTACGAGATGCTGGAACGCTATGTGAAGCAAACGGCACAGCTGCAGAAACTGTTACCACCGGATGCATTGACAGGCGCTGAATTAGATTTGGCTGCAGAACTAATAACAGTGCTGGCTCCACTAGCCAGTGCAATGCGCCAATTGTGTGGCACGAGTATCTCCACATATCCCAGTGCCAGTAATGCTTTACCTATTGCCTATACCGTGCTCAACGAATTGAAGCAGCCAGAAATCGCAGAGCAGCAGCAACATCAAATCTCCTATGATTTGCGTCTATTTGTTATCCGTTTGCTGGAGGAGCGCTTCGAGGTCATGGAAAATAATACGCAGTTGGCTCTGTCTAGTCTATTAGATCCACGTTTCCGCAATATGCCGTTCCAGAGTGCATCGTTGGTGGCCAAATATATGACACAGCTGTATGACCTGTATGAGGAGAAGGGCGGGGTCATACCTGTTGAATCGAGTCAGGAAGCGAACACTGATAACTACGATATATGGGCAGCATATAGGGCCTTTTCTCATGAGAAGCACAAGCACATCAATATGAATGGTGAGAGTGAGAATATGGATGAGATATCCAGCTATTTCTGTTCAAGCATTAGCAGCCTACAGACGGAGCCACTGCTGTTGTGGAAGGATCTCGTACAGTTTCATCCATTTTTGCATAGCTTGGCTAAAAGGTATTTGCATATACCGGCATCGGCCTTACCACCGGCACGAATATTTACCGCCGGTGGAGAAGAAACAATAGCTCAACATGAAAAATTCTTGGACGAGCAGCTGAGCAATATGGTTTTAATGGCGGATTGCGCAAGGGATGAATGGCAATTGTAGTACAAGCATATTATTTTTTTACCTATGTTAGCGAATTTTTAATCATTGTAAACAACTTTGTGTCAGTCATCTTTGTGTGACAAGTTTTATACCCTGTAATAAGTCAATAGAAATTTGTATTTAATTTATTAACTCAATTTGGCACCTATGTATATTGTTCAGTATTTAATCGATTGCACGTCTGCTACATTAATCGATATATTAACAGTCTGGCTATGTTGTGCAGTACTGATGACGTTTTTTCACGAATTGTATGTTTTAAAGTATATTTGATGTGAAAAATTGAAACATTAGCAATATGCAAACGCATAAAACAATCAAATAACACCACATACACACAACGGGTGCCGAGTGAAAGCTATCGTGATAACAACAATAACATACGGGGGAACACTCACCGTTGCGGCAGCGCGAAAGTTGCTGTCGCTGTCGATTCATATACAGGCACACGCACGCAGAAGGTAATTAGTTGGAGGCTGGTAATAAAAACATAACTGTAAAACGACCTTGGAGTTGCATACAATATGCAAAATAACTCCACGAAAACCAAGGAAATGTTTATTGTGCGTGCTCTAGAGAAAATCCTTGCCGATAAGGACATACGGCGCTCACATCATTCACAGCTCAAGAAATCCTGTGACACAGCCCTCGAACAGATCAAAGCGGAACTCATCAATGCGGGCCAAATTGCCGAAGGTAATGAATTACCATGTGCAGCGTTGCCATTGCCCAAAAACGATGCGGCAAGTATTATCAACGCGGAAACGTATTTCCTGCCATTCGAGCTAGCATGCAAGAGTCGCTCGCCACGAATTGTTGTTACAGCGCTGGACTGTCTGCAAAAGTTAATTGCTTATGGCCATTTGACGGGCGCTATTCAGGATTCTGCAAATCCGGGTCATTTGCTCATAGATCGCATTGTCATCACCATTTATGGCTGTTTTAATGGCCCCCAGACAGATGAAGGCGTTCAATTACAGATTATCAAGGCGCTGCTCACCGTTGTGACGTCACAGCATGTTGAAATACATGAATTTACGCTGCTGCAAGCTGTGCGCACCTGCTATGACATTTACCTATCGAGCAGGAATCTGGTCAATCAGACAACGGCACGTGCCACACTAACACAGATGTTAAATGTGATCTTTGCGCGAATGGAGAATCAAGTTTATGAAGTGCCACCAACACCATCAACGACGACAACGATTAACGGTAGCATAGGCAATTCGGAAGGTAATGGTGAAGATCTGACTACGTCGGCTCCGACAGTTGCGGAAACAATGGATAGCGATGAAGCCATAGCCTCTGAGCTGCTAGGCGAAATATTAACAGGTGGGTGGGAGTTAATGTGTATGCGTATCTTATGCACACTGATTTACAAATAATCGTAAGTAATCGATAAATATAGAATCCACAATATGTGAATCAGTGCTGCGCTTATTGAGAACCACTTCAGCAGATAGCTATAAAAGCAATAGACATATAGTATGCAAAACCAGTTGTAGTGGCAGAATTATAGTTATAATTATTATTAGTTTCAAGCTACATTAAGCAGGGGTGAACATATACATCTTCAGAGCTATACATTTTCATAAAAAGAAATTCAGGCATCCGATGAGTAGTCAAGTTGTATAATATATAAATTTAATAAAAATAGTGTATGTTAGCTATTAAATAGTTTAATAGGAGCACAACTATTTATTTGTACTTATCGATATGTTAAATAAATTTGAAACAGGAATCAGTAACTAAAATGGTAATCTGCTTATGCATATATTTTTAGCTGCCTTCAATGAGGTGATGAAGGAACAGAACTCAGATTCGGAACTGGTAGAAATGGAGGGATCTGTAAATGGAAACGGGTCAGTTGATTCCTTGCACTCGGATCACGATAGCGTTGAGCTGCAGAGCGAGAACGATGCTATAGTCACGGCTAAATTTACGCACATTCTGCAAAAGGATGCGTTTCTCGTATTTCGGGCATTGTGTAAGCTGTCGATGAAGCCACTACCCGATGGTCAACCCGATCCTAAGTCTCATGAGCTGCGTTCCAAGGTATTGTCGTTGCATTTGCTGCTGCTTATATTGCAGAATGCTGGTCCCGTCTTCCGCTCTAACGAGATGTTCGTTATGGCTATAAAACAATATCTGTGCGTTGCCTTATCAAACAATGGGGTTAGCCTAGTGGCCGAGGTCTTCGAGTTGTCGCTCTCTATATTTGTGGCATTACTTTCAAATTTTAAGGTGCATTTAAAGCGTCAAATTGAGGTGTTTTTCAAGGAGATTTTCTTGAATATACTAGAAGCTAATTCGAGTTCTTTTGAACACAAATGGATGGTGATACAAGCTTTGACGCGCATCTGTGCTGATGCACAGTCTGTGGTGGACATCTATGTGAACTATGATTGTGATTTCTCGGCAGCGAATCTGTTTGAGCGTTTGGTCAACGATCTATCTAAGATTGCGCAAGGTCGCCAGGCCCTAGAGCTGGGCGCTAATCCCATGCAGGAGAAGTCAATGCGCAAACGCGGCCTCGAGTGCCTTGTGTCTATATTGAAATGTATGGTTGAGTGGAGTAAGGATCTGTATGTCAATCCAAATATGCCAGCGCCCGCCTTACAGGTGAAGAACATACAAATACATGTTTATTTTTTTATGGTTAACTTATGTCTGATTGTAGGTGCAGTCCCTGCAGTCACCCACTTCAACCACGCAGGAGACGCAATTGAGTGACAATGTGGATGCACTATCCGCACACAATTCCAGCCTGCGTTCGACTCATGGCGGTTCAAGTCATAGCCTTAATTCGTATGGCAGTGTTAAGAATCAGGAGCTATTGGATTTGCCGGAAGCGTTAGAGGAGCGCAAGATGCGCAAAGAAGTCATGGAGACAGGCATTGAACTATTCAATCGCAAGCCACAAAAGGGCGTTCAATTTTTGCAGGAGAAACAACTGTTGGGCAATAGCTGTCAGGATATTGCACGCTGGCTGCACGATGACGATCGCCTCGATAAGACCGTAGTTGGCAATTATCTCGGCGAAAACGACGATCACTCCAAGGAGGTGATGTGCGCTTATATTGATGCTTTTGACTTTCGTCATCTCGAAGTAGTTGCAGCTCTGCGCATTTTGCTTGAAGAGTTCCGTTTGCCCGGCGAAGCGCAGAAGATTGACCGTTTAATGGAGAAGTTTGCGAGTAGATACTGCGAATGTAATCCACAAAATCAACTTTTCCAGAGCGCCGACACAGTCTATGTGCTGGCATTCAGCATTATAATGCTGACCACAGATCTTCATTCGCCTCAAGTTAAACACAAGATGACCAAGGAGCAGTACATCAAAATGAATCGGGGTATTAGTGACAGCAAAGATGATCTACCCGAGGAGTATTTGTCATCTATCTACGATGAGATTGCCGAGCATGAGATTAAAATGAAGAACAATACAACCATGCTGATGGCACCCAAGCCTGCGGGTAAGCAGCCCTTCATAACTGAAAAGCGACGAAAACTGCTATGGAATATGGAAATGGAGGTTATCTCCCTGACAGCAACAAATTTGATGCAATCTGTGTCGCATGTCAAATCCCCATTCACATCGGCCAAGCATCTGGAGCATGTGCGTCCCATGTTTAAAATGGCATGGACTCCGTTTCTGGCCGCCTTCTCAGTGGGACTGCAGGTCTGTGATGATCCAGAGATAGCGACCCTATGCTTGGATGGTATTCGATGTGCCATACGCATTGCGTGCATCTTTCACATGTCGTTGGAACGGGATGCCTATGTTCAGGCGCTGGCACGGTTCACCCTGCTGAATGCAAATTCGCCCATCAACGAGATGAAGGCTAAGAATATCGACACCATCAAAACGCTCATCATGGTCGCTCACACTGATGGGAATTATCTGGGCAGCAGTTGGTTAGACATTGTCAAATGCATTAGCCAGTTGGAGCTGGCACAGCTTATAGGAACCGGAGTGCGACCGCAATTTCTTTCCGGTGCACAGACTACGCTCAAGGATGCTCTTAATCCCAGTGTCAAAGAGCACATTGGAGAGACGAGTAGTCAGAGTGTGGTTGTGGCTGTGGATCGTATATTTACCGGCTCCATGCGCTTAGATGGTGATGCCATTGTGGACTTTGTCAAGGCACTTTGCCAGGTCTCTGTCGATGAGTTGCAACAAACACAACCCCGCATGTTCTCCCTACAAAAGATAGTAGAGATTAGTTACTATAATATGGAACGTATTCGATTACAATGGTCACGTATCTGGCAGGTGCTGGGTGAGCATTTCAACACGGTTGGATGTAACAGTAACGAGGAGATTGCATTCTTTGCTCTGGATTCACTGCGGCAGCTTTCCATGAAGTTCATGGAGAAGGGAGAATTCAGCAATTTTCGGTTTCAAAAGGATTTTCTGCGTCCCTTCGAGCACATCATGAAGAAAAACAACTCGCCGGCTATACGTGACATGGTCGTGCGTTGTATTGCTCAAATGGTCAACTCGCAGGTTAGTCAATCAGTAGATTAATCACTAAAGCAAAATATATAAATTTTCTTTTCACAGGCACACAATATACGTTCCGGCTGGAAAAACATATTTTCTATATTTCATTTAGCTGCCGGTGATCATGAGGAACAAATTGTTGAGCTGGCATTCCAGACAACAGGAAAAATTATTGGTGACCTCTATCGGCGACAATTTGCCGTTATGGTTGACTCCTTTCAAGATGCCGTTAAGTGCCTATCTGAATTTGCGTGCAATGCGCGCTTCCCGGATACAAGCATGGAAGCCATACGGTTAGTGCGAAACTGTGCTCAGTGTGTGCATGATGCACCCCAACTATTTGCGGACCATGCAGGCATGGAGAATGATGCTTCTGTGGCGGAGGAAGATCGTGTTTGGGTGCGCGGTTGGTTTCCCATGCTCTTCTCTCTTTCCTGTGTGGTAAATCGATGCAAGTTGGATGTGCGTACTCGTGGTCTGACTGTTCTCTTTGAGATCGTGAAGACACATGGCGACAGCTTTAAGCCAAATTGGTGGAAGGATTTATTCAATGTCATTTTTCGCATCTTTGACAACATGAAGCTGCCGGAACATGTTACCGAAAAGTCCGAATGGATGACAAC